AGTAATGATTTTGTCCAACCTCCCACTACCCCTGGATTTCTAAAGCATCTTTCAGAAGGCGATGGAGTCTAAACTCCTTCAGCGATGGTTCTCTCTCTTGTGAAGCCGACTGCTAATAGCCAGAACCATGAAGTTCTCTGTAGCTGCTGGCTTAATGGGTCTAGTTCAACTTCTAGAACAGAACATGTTTCTTTCATCTCTTGCTTTTCACAGTTTTAATATGAGAATGTTTAATCATTCACTGGAGAAAATTTGGAGAATTTTAAAAAGTTACTCATAATCTTGCAATCTAGAAATAGCCACTTAAACATATTAGTATGTTTCCTTTTAGACCCTTATTTTAATCATATATAGCATTTTAAAAACATTAAATTACACTATGTAGTTTTTTATCCTGGTCTTCTCACTTATTAGATGTAGAATTTTCTTGTTTTATAAAAAATTATGTGAAAATATTTTATTTAGTGGCCACATAACATTTTATCCTATGAATTTACTATACTTTTCATAAGCAATTTCCCACTTATATTATTTTTGAATATTTTTTGGCCCTTATAAATAATACTAGTTAAATGAATACCTTGTATATAAATGCAATGCATATTTTTAATAAGTATGGCTAAAAGTAGAAACACTGAATAATAGGTTATGAATTTGTAGCTTTTGAAAAACATTTCTGTCTCCTTCCAGAAAGCATACTACATATTATACCTCAACAACAACATGAAAATATGTCACACTGCATTTTATTTACTAAGTGCAATCATTCTTCAAAATCTTTTCATCAATTAAGTAGGTAAAATGTTTTTCTCATTTCTGTTTGAAACAGGCTAAGCAATTTTTCTCATATGTATTTATTTGTCTATGAATTGCTTGCTCAGGTCACTTACTCATTTTTCTATTAAGGTATATCTCGGAAAATTGTAATTCTGAATTCTATTTTAAAATTAATGGAACTCATTTTTTTTTTTTTTAAGATTGGCACCTGAGCTAACAACTGTTGCCAATCTTTATTTTTTTTCCCTGCTTTCTCTCCCCAAAGCCCCCCAGTACATAGTTGTGTATTTTTAGTTGTGGGTCCTTCTAGTTGTGGCATGTGGGACACTGTCTCAACGTGGCGTGACAAGCGGTGCCATGTCTGTGCCCAGGATTTGAACTGGCAAAACCCTGGGCCGCCAAAGCAGAGCATGTGAACTTATAATTGGTTAAACTCTTATTTACTGTACTATTTAAAATTTTTTGTCATATTAGGGATCCTCTTAAATCTGAAAGAATACACTTGTGCTTTATACTTGAGTCAATTAGTGGTACATTAAAAAAAGTCAAAGTCAAGCATTAATTAACATTAGGTTGATGATTCAAATCTGCTTCCCATGACAAACTATTTCTAAGTTGAACTGTTTACGACACAAATGGGGTTCTCCTACCTGATGCGCATTAAAAAAAAAAAGCCAATTATTAATGGCATCAGCTTTTGGGAAAAGAAATCAGCTTTTTCCTTTTTTTTTTTTAAAGATTTTATTATTTCCTCTTTCTCCCCAAAGCCCCCTGGTACATAGTTGTATATTCTTCATTGTGGGTTCTTCTAGTTGTGGCATGTGGGACGTGCCCAGGATTCGAACCAATGAAACACTGGGCTGCCTGCAGCGGAGTGCGCGAACTTAACCACTCGGCCACGGGGCCAGCCCCAAAAGAAATCAGCTTTATTGTGTGAGATTGATCTGCAGGGAGACAGAGGGCATGTGCCCTCAGCTCTGTCTCCCCGATCCAAGGCTTGGGGCAGAATTTATGGGATGAAAGGCAGGCTGGTCTGAAATGTGGAGAGAGATGATTGAAGGCAAGAAGAAGTGAGGTAATTGATGACGATCTGCACAAATGTAGTCAAGTTTCACGCCTCTTCACAGGACGCATGTTCACAAAATGGTGGTGTTACCATGATCTGAGGGTGGAGTTTTTAGTTCCTTGACATCAAAAAGATCATTTATCAAGCATCTGCACAGGCCCAGTTGAAAGGTTGGTGGCCTCAACCGGCCTGAACTGGACAAGCAGTCTCAGTTCCTGAAAAACCACTCTTAATGACTGTTAATAAGATGAGGTCAGGTGAACTGGTCCTGGAGGGCCCGCGGTTACAGAACTCATCACACACAGTATTTTCTGAAACAAACATTCTAAGAAAGGTAGTTTGCTATAATGCTCATAGTTTCAGTTTCAAGTCAATCTTAGGAACTATTAAGCTTTTCACCATTACAGAAAAACGGCTCTTTTTAGTAAACAGATGGCCAGAGGATCAACTTCATTGTGACAAGAGACAAAATGAGAAGAGATTTTATTTAAATTGTAGAGTAAGTGATATGTAAATATTCATTAACCTTTCTTATCTACCAAAAGGGCGAATGTTTAATCCAGTGCTCTGTGTTCTCAAAATCACTTGGGTTAATAGTTTGTCAGTCTCTTGGAAAATAAACAAAAAATCAAAAGCTTTGAAGACCCTGGTTTTAACATGAAATTTAATCAAAGCTGAGTCAAAGATATTGGGGCCTGTAGATTCATTTTTTTATAGATTTGAGCTTTTCTAATACTGATTTATAAACATTCTCTATGTTAATTGTCTTAAACCTTTCTCAGAGTTGTTGAAAATCCCAAGTTTGTTAGCCACTTTTTAATTTTGTTTCTGTTGAAGAAAAATTTTTAGTTAATATAGGAATTTATTGATAATTTTCTATTGGCTTCCATTGCTTTTATATGAGAAGGTCCTTCTCCATCCACAGTTAAGATAATTACCTATTTTTTTCCACTTTAAATGGCTTAAGAAAAATACTTAACTCTTTAACCAACTGTTCTATGATGTGATGAAGAATATAATTTATATTTCCCCCCCGATTTGTAATGCAAATTTATCATGTACAAATGTCTTATATTTTCTGGAGTCCCTTCTGATCTATTTATTTCCACTCACGTATGTCTCTACTTGTACTGATATTACTCTGTTTTAATTATCATTGTTTTAAAGTATGTTTTAATGTCTGATAATTTGCCTCGTCATCTGGTCATTTTTTTTCCCTAAAACATTTTCAGCTAGTTCTATTTATTTTAAGGATAAACTTTAGAGATATTATCAATTTCCTCCTCACTCTCTGAAAACAATTCCCATGGGGATTTTGCTGGGAAATACACTACATTTGTAAATTAATTTGAGGTGAGTTAATGTTAATTTTGTCTTCTAGTTTTAGGATATGGTACATTTCTCTATTCAGATCTGTGTGTGTGTAGTTTTACATTTGCATAATACATCTCATATTTCATTTAAAAGTTATTCCTAGTTATGTGGTTTTTGTTGCTAATTATTATTGAAATGATTTTTTCATTGTATCTTTTAACCAATTTTTATTGGCATGGTTTTGAGGATATGATTGTTGTATAATTAACATATCTACTTTTCCTAATTTGACCTTAGGTATATGACACATAATACATTTTTCAATATTAAACTATCTTTGCATTCTTGGGATAGATCATATTTGGTTGTATTAAATAGTCATTGAATAATCTGTTGACTTCAAGCATCGAATTAACCCCTAGAGCTTGTGAGTCTTATTTGCACATAAAAAGAGTCACAAATTTTGGGGGGAAGGAAATAGTACATATGTTTTATGAACTAATTCTAAGAACAACAGATATATATTTCATTAACATTATAACTAACAAAGCTAAGGCACTCTTTCTCCCTTTTCCTTTATTTCTTTGTTCTTCCAAACTTTGTGTACTGTGACATCCCATTGATGGAGAGGCAATAGGGATACAATAGTCTAATCTTTTCTTCTAAGCAGCACAATTTTAAGAATAGGAATGAGGGACTGACCCCACGGCCTAGTGTTTAAGTTCAGTGCGCTCCACTTTGGCAGCCCAGGTTCGTGGGTTTGGATCCTGGGCACAGACCTATGCCACTCATCAGCCATGCTGTGGCAATGACCCACATATAAAGTTGAGGAAGATTGGCACAGATGTTAGCTCAGGGCTAATCTTCCTCAGCTAAAAAAAAAAGGAAGGAGAAAGAAAAAAAGGAATGAAAATGTCTATTTCCAATACAAACACAGCAGAAGCTTGGTTTCTTTTATGTTGATTAACATGAATTCTCTCATTTTGTTTTCAAAACAACCTCATGAGGCAGTGCAAGTACAGGTATTCTGTAAAGCAAGAAAGGAAGCAGCATAGATAATCTCCAAGGATACTGGGCTCAGATTCTACATTCTCCCCACAAGATGCTCTGGCTTTGTTGACGCTAAATTGGCTCAGGAACCAGGAAAGTGCCATGTTTATTAACATTACCTTAAGCATAAATACAAAGATTGTTAGTTCACCTACTCCTGGGATAGTAATGGATGTCCAAAGAATAAAATAACAGTGGTTTAGCAAGACTCTACCTAAGCGGAGAGTGACTTTGGCATCTGGGTCCTTTTTAGGGAGTCAAAGGCAGCAAAATTTCACACGTCCTCTCCCTATGGGCAGTCATCCCATTTCATCAGGAATTTGTATCCTTGACTAAGTAATCTGGGAATTTAAAACACACATGGATGTGCGTGTGGTAGTGATGGTGGGGTATTTCTTCTTGTTAATCACATGAAGAGTAGATATTATTATCCTTATGTCACAAATAAGGACACTGAATCTCAAAAAGCTTTGGGACATTCCCAAAGTCACTGAACTACTATGCGGTAGAATTGAGATCTGGACCCAAGATCCTCAGATTCTGGAACTCTGGACTCCAATATCCCATCACATTGGGTAATGTTGGTCAGCCAGCCCAGACTCTATTTCCATTTCCCTTTTCTCTAGTCATCTCCCAGTCCGGGGTGGCATGTGATAAATCTGGCCAAACAGACTCAAATCTGCTACAGCATTCTTGGAAATGTATCTCTTTCTCCCTTTTCCTTTATTTCTTTGTTCTTCAACTTTGTGTACTGTGAAGATCCGATGATGATAATCTTCCCTGTGCCCTTTCTTCCCTTTCTCCCCCAGTGTAATGCTAAGAGCTGACATAGCATTATGGAACCATCAGGAAAAGGCCAAGGGAATTTCAGTAACAGCTGTCTTGACAGAATTGAACTGTTGAACTAGGGTGCATCCACCCATCTCTGGATTTCTCTTTCTTTCAATATAATAAATTTAAGTCCCTGTCATCAGGTTTCTGGCTACTATCTAATTGATAAACCCATTCAATGCCTTTCCTATGAATATTATTTGGTCTGATTAATATTATACTCTAAATTTTCTGGTGTTACATATGTCTAAAACTGCTTTATTTTTCTTTTATTTTTAGTGTTTCTGGGCAAGTTTCATTTAGATATGATCTAAGTAAGCAGCATATAGTTGGGTTTTGTTTTTAATGTAATCTGAGAGAATGTTAGGTTAATCTCGATTACAAATCTAAAAAAATAGTAACAGTAAGGCTGTTCCAGTATCACACAGAGACTAATTTATGTCATCTGTAAGTCACACAATGATTATAAAACATTCTAAGAATATTTCTTAAAGGAAAATCAATATCATAGTTCTTCATGGGAAATTAGTTACCTATTAATTTTTTGTCTGCTCCAAATCCTTCATAAACCCACAGGTGACCCTGACAGGCCAGGGGTGTTGGTTCCATCTGAAAGTTGATAATATCAAGGCGAATGATGTGATTTAAAGGGGCTAATAACCTCCAGTGGCAGCTACGGCACAGATGAAAGAAAGTCAGAAATGCTTTCCAAACAGCATATATTGTTATTTATTTTGTTCAGAATTTAATGTATCACTCAGTGAGTCACTGTTATTCACTCTCTCTCTGTTTCTTTGTGTTTACATGAAAGAAAGATTTTTACTTTAAATTATAACAGTTGAAAAATATTTTCTAATAGTTAATTTGTCAAAAGTTTTAACTAAGTTCATCCATTATGGTGAAGGTCAATCCCATATTATAGTCTAAATTCTGATTGGCAATCTGTAAGAGTTAAGGACCTATTCTTGCCTGAATTTGCCCCAAACTCTCCCAAATCACATCAATTCAGTTAGGATTGATATTATATAAATCTTCAGTTTTCATTTCTCATTTTAAATTTATTCTAACGTTTAATTCAGGGAAAGTCCTCTTTCCATTGTGGCATTTTAAGAACCATTTATTGAGTAACTACTATGTGCCAGAGGTTTTACAGAATTTATTTCAATCTCCGAAACTCTTTGATAGAGATTTGACTTTCCAATTTACCTAATAAATGGTCTCATTTGTTGACAAAGTACAATTTATCAACAGGGATAATCTTACATTCAGTTTTTGGATATGGAAGGGATTATCTCAAAGTCTATTCTTTAAGGAGAAGAGATGGAAAATAATGCCTTAAGTAAAGTACCAAGCGTTGCTGGTTGTCGAGTGATCATTCACAAACTTCTTTCATCATAATAAACACCCCTTCCTCACCTCATAGTGGTTCTGTGAAAATATCTTGGGATCTGTATGATTCCTGCTGGTTTGGTCAGAATAACATCCTCACAAGTGGCCACATGCACTTGGTTTGTACCCTGGAGAAGTTTGGTAGTTTTACTGCTTTTTGGACCTAGCAATAAAGAAAAAAAGGGAATAAGAATAAAACTAATTTTTAAGAGGCTTGTTATGTGTCTTTTCAGATCAGAGCAGTCCGCTTTCCTCCCTAATTGTTTTAGAAATAAGTTAAGAGGAAGTGGTTAGTTTCACTGAAAAGTCTCTATCTGAAACATTTAAAGACACAGAGAACCAACATGTCACCTCTCTCTTGGAATTATCTTTGGCAGAGCCTAGGGTCTAGGGAAGACCATGTGGGAATAACTATAGATGATGCCGATTCCCTGCATAATTCCATCTAAAATGCAACATTCTTAATACAGTTCTTCAGGAAAAAACTTTCATATGATAAGCGTGCTTTTCTTTATTACTCACTTAACATTTTTCAAAATATATCTCTGCAGTATTTCTCGGTGCCGAGGAGAGAAGCTAGCTTTTGGTTACCTATGCTCATCAAGAGTCAAAAAGCCTCACTAGCTATATGTTCTAAAGTGAAATCTGATAACTCTGAATTGCATAGAGTTTACATTTATGATGATAGCATCTAATATTTGCATAGTTTGTTTTCAAAACTCTTTCTAACCTTTTATTATTATAATATCACTTATAAAGAAAACCTGATAGAGAAATAATAAGTTGTCCAGAGTTAATCAGCCAGCTAAGATGTAGAAACCAAATCTTCCAATCCACAAGAATTATGGCTGCAGAAAAAGCTCTCTGTGGTGTAAAATCACAATCACAGTCAAAAACATTATCTTGTAATCAGCATATCTTAGCCATGTCTACAAGTCACAATTCTGGGTGATTTATAAGTCAATCAAGCTATCCACTGAGCAGTTTCTCTTTTGGACCTGACCAATCTCAGATCACTTAAATAGATTTTCCTTTCAAACATAAACTCATTCCCCACAGAAACAAAACTTCTTACAAAAGAATGTAAAAATTTTGAAATATTCCTTAAAAAACCATTGATTTTTAACTTTATAAGATGACCAAACATACCTTGGACTCTAAAGACAATATAACTTATGCCAAAAGCACCTTGCACAAGGGAGTGAAAAGACACCCTCACGAGTGGTCCAGAGCTCATGAAATCATTGGGTAAAGCCTTCTTCCACATAGTCCACCTAAGTTAAAAAAAATAAAATCTAATAAAAAACAAGACATTTGTTTTTCAGTAGTTTCTCTATTTTAGGCATAGCAATTAATGAAACCTATGAGGTAGAAATTTACTCTACTTTGCAAAATGAATAGGGCTCCAGAAGTCAAATGACTCACCCAAAGTCACAGAAAATGGAATGGGGAGTCAGGATCTGAACCCAGGTGCATGAATGCAACACCCATCACAATCTACTATGTCACACTACTCCCTTGAAAGACAGCAGGCAGCAAATTATTTTATCTTTAAAATGACACTAAAGTGCCATTTTTCTCCTAGAAAAGTAACCTACTTATTAAAAATATCTCACTGCGAAAATCCACAGTGGAAAACTTTCTGCTTGAAAGTTTATTCTTTCCCTACAATCAACCTTCTTTTTCTTTTTTTTGAGGAAGATTAGCCCTGAGCTAACACCTGCTGCCAACCTTCCTCTTTTTGCTGAGGAAGGCTGGCCCTGAGCTAACATCTGTGCCCATCATCCTCTACTTTATACGTGGGACACCTGCCACAGCGTGGCTTGACAAGCAGTGTGTAGGTCCACACCCAGTATCCGAATCTGTCAACCCTGGGCTGTTGAAGCAGAACGTGCAAACTTAACTGCTGCGCCACCAGGCTGCCCCCAACAGTCAACCTTCTTTTGATTGCTCTACTTTGAGAGCCGAAGTCAAAGATGAAAGGGAAAATTATAACCATAGTTTTAAAACAACTCAGAGGGTTTATTAAGAAGGTGTGGAAAGAACCTGTGAGTTTCTCAGAATCAAACTCATCTACCATCAAGAATAATTCAGGGAGTGACGTCAGCATCATGGTGGAGTGAGCTCTTCCCTTGGACTCTCCCCTCTAAGAAACAACCATAAGGACATTCATATGCCAACAGAGGACATACATATATCACAAAAGATGTCTGAGAGACCCAGGCAGCCATATCCCTGAAGGTGGTGGTGGGGCTGGATCCTCCAGAGGAAGTAAAAGCTGATTCACAGGAGCTCCGTGGAGAGAGACAGGCTGTGGTAGTGGTATGTACACAGGTGAAAAGGGCACCCCGTCCCCACCCAGTACTCCAGCCCCAGAATCATCCAGAGCATGGTACGGTGTGTGTGGTAGTGGTGGTGGGGAAAGTGCACAGGTGAAGAGAGGTGTCCTGTCCCCACTCAGCTCCCCAGCCCCAGAAGTCTGGAGTACAGTGCAGAGAGTATGGCAGCAGCAGCGGGGAAAGTACATAGGTGAGGGAAGTGCTCCATCCCCGCCCAGCACTCCAGCCCCAGGATTGCCTGGAGCAAGGTGCAGAGAGCTTGGTGGCAGTGGCGGCAGTGGTGGCAGGGAAAGTGCGCAGCCCTAGAATCTTCTGGAACATGGCACAGACCATATGGCAGCAGCAGAAGGGAAAGTGTACAGGTGAAGGAGGTGCCCTGTCCCTGCATGGCACTCCAGCCCCAGGATCGCCTGGAGCACAGCCCAGAAAGCTTGGCAGCAGTCACGGTGCCAAAAGTTCACAGGTGAGGAGAGGTGCCCTGTCCCTGCCTAGCACTCCAGCCCCACTATTGCCTGGAGCAGTGAGTGAGGAAGCAGCAGCTGGGGAAAGGGGAAGTGCAAAGTCCTGCAATCGCCCAGAGCTCCATACAGAGAGACAAGCAGGAGCTGGGGGAAGCACTGGTGAAAGTGAGTACACCTTCCCCTGCCTGGTGCTCCAGATCTGTCACTGATCAGTCACTCAGAGAGAAAACCAGTCAGTGGCCAGAGCTGGGGAGCCCCTGCTCATGCCAGGCCCAGAATACATAGTGCCTGATCCCCACCCAGTGGCGGTACACAGCAGTTGCAACCAGATAAGAGCACCATGAGGAAGCAAAAATCCACTCCATCAAGCAGTATGAGGAGGTATAGTAAATCTCCAGACCAGAAGGAAAGTGACAAGTACCCAGAAACCAACCCAGAAGGCACAGAAATCCATAACCTAAATGACAAAGAATTCCAAACAGCTATCATAAAAAAACTCAATGAGTTAGAAGAAAACAAATTAACAAAAAGACAAATTAATGAGTTCAGGAGCTTCTTCATAAAGGAGATTGAACCATAAAGAACCAATCAGATTTGTTGGAGATGAAAACCACAATGATGAAATAAAGAAAAATCTGGATTCCTTAAAAAACAGAGCTGATAACATGGAGGACAGAATAAGCCAGTTAGAGGATGGTACTATAGAAATGCTTCAGGGCTGGCCCCATGGCCGAGTGGTTAAGTTCTCGTGCTCCACTGCAGGTGGCCCAGTGTTTCGTTGGTTCGAATCCTGGGCGCAGACATGGCACTGCTCATCGGGCCATGGTGAGGCAGCGTCCCACATGCCACAACTAGAAAGACCCACAACGAAGAATATATAACTATGTACCAGAGGGCTTTGGGGAGAAAAGGGAAAAAATTTTTTAAATCTTTAAAAAAAAAAGAAAGAAATGCTCCAGAGGGAGGAGAAGAGAGAACTGAGACTAAAAAGAAATGAAGAAGCTCTCAGAGAAATATCTGACTCAATCAGGAAGTGCAACATAAGGATTATAGGTATTCCAGAGGGAGAAGAGAAGGAGAATGGAGGAGGAACCTTGTTCAAAGAAATAATAGCTGAGAACTTCCCAAACCTGGGGAGGGAGCTGGAAATCCATGTGAAAGACGCCTCCAGATCTCCTAACTTTGTCAGTGTAAAAAGACCCACTCCAAGGCATATAGTGGTGAGACTGGCAAAAGTCAAGGGCAAAGAAAATATACTAAGGACAGCAAGGCAGAAGAAAATAACTTACAAAGGAACCCCTATCAGGCTTTCAGTGGATTTCTCAGCAGAAACCTTACAGGCTAGGAGAGAATGGAATGATATATTCAAAATCCTGAAAGACAAAAACTTTCAGCCAAGAATACTCTATCTGGTGAAAATTTCCTTCAGATATGACAGAGAAATAAAAACTTTCACAGATAAACAAAAGCTAAGGGAGTTCATTGCCACAGGACCCCCACTACAAGAAATCCTCAAGAAGGCCCTCATATCTGGGAAAAAAAAAATAGGAAAGGGGCTACACAGCCCTGAGCAAGGAGATGAATAGGTATGCAATAATCGGAAAATGGAAGGTCTCTATCAGATCAGGTTAGTAAACACTTAACTTTAACATCAAGGATAAAGAAAAGGAAAACACCAAAACAAAAATGATGCCATAATTTTAACCACAAACTCACAAGATGGAAAAAGATATGACAAAAATAACTTAAAAGGGGAAAAGGAAAGGGATGGAAACAGTAGAGTCTAAGGAAAAAGAGGCTATCAGAAAATGGACTATCTCAACTATGAGATTCTTTACACGAATCTAAGGGCAACCACTAGACAAATAATTAGAACAAGAGACATGGAAGACAAACAAGGAGAAAACAAAGAAAACCAATGGAGAAAACTACCTTATCAAATTGGTAGTCTGAAAGACACAGGACAAGAAACAAAGAAATTTTATAAACTATTTAGACCAAAATAAAAAAATTTTTTAAAAAGTAGAATTCAGTATCAGGGGCTAGCCCCATGGCCTAGTAGTTAAGTTCAGCTCACTCTGCTTCGGCGGCCCAGGTTCGGTTCCTGGGTGTGGACCTATGCTCCTTGGTGGCCATGCTGTGATGGCAACCCACATACTAAATAGAGGAAGATTGGCACAGATGTTAACTCAGGGCAAATCTTCCTCAGCAAATAAATAAATAAATAAATAAATAAATAATTCAGTATCACTCTATAACATTTATTTAAATGTCACCTGCTCAGAAAGACATTTGCTGGTTATCCTACATACAATTATACGGTACCTACATCACAGATACTTTTCCTCTCCCTTCTCATTTCATTTTCCCCCATAGCTCTTCTACCTAATATATTATATATTTTATTTTATCTTATTGTGTGTCCTCTCCCCAGTAGAATATAAGCTTGGTAAGGGCAGGGATATTTTGGTCCACTATATTCTCTACTGGATCCCCACAACCAAGAAGAGTTAATCTCTGGCCCATAATAGGCACTCCACAGACATTTGTAGGGAGGAAGGGGGGAGGAGATTATATCCAAGAAGAAGAAAAAACATTAGTTGGCATAACATATTAGGGTAAATGATGTTGAAATACTATTCGAAGAATGATCAAACATTTATTTGTAGCAAGTAGAGATGAATGCAGCTCTTGAATGAGTTCCTGGCTCCCACAGGAAAAAAGATAGCACTTTACAGTACAGAAAAATACTATCCGACTTGAGTAAGGGGTAATATTTCCATTACACCCTGCAGTTCTGCTAGCTGTCATCTGAAGTGACAGAACAATCTCGCAGGGTCAAGCTGACAAATTCAAATCAAAGAAATGCTAGGTTGGAAAATTATAGGGGTTCCCTAGTCAATCCACAACAAAGTCAAGCATGGTTTTCAAAAGGTAATAATGAAAAAGGCAAGTTTTCCCAGAAAATCATTCTTTCTATATGAGAATCTAGTATATGATAAAGATAATGCTATAAATTGGAGAGAAAGGAATTTTTTTTAAAAGCAGGCATAAAGTCACTTTACCATATGAGAAAATACATTTCCACAGGATTAAAGCTTCATTTTAATTAAATTTTTTTTCCGACCTCAGAATGGGCAATGGATTTTTAAAAATAAAAGCAGTGAGATAAATTGGAGATCAAAGATATGTATGGGTAGGTTTAAACCAACAAACTTAAAAATGTTTACATCAACATATAGTAAACAAAATTTAAGGGCAAATGACAATCTTATGAATAAGCACTTAACTTTTGACAAAGAAAAAAATTGTTATATATAAGGATCTTATAAACCAGTGAAAAGAACAATACTCAAATTTAAAAATGGGCGGTAATGAGAAGAAATAAAAAATATAAATAGCTAACTATGAAAAAAGTAATTATACCCCTTAACGATAAAAAAGTAAAAGTGCCTATCGAATTGAGCTATTGGGTTACAGGTGTGGTGAAAGAGGTCTCATGTACGGCTAACAGCCATGAAAACTAACCCAGTGTTCCTGAAGAGTAATTTAGCAGTGAGCACTCATGCGAAAAAAAAAAGTTCTGAGTCGCTAGGCATTATCCCAATTTGGGGAGATACAGAGGGAACAAAACAGCAAGATCCCTGTTCTCCCGAAGCTATCATTTCAGTCAGGGAAATGAAGAAGATGGTTTCAAATACAGCCTGCGGCTACAAATGAAATAACCAGTGTCGTCTGATAGAAAATGACAATGGGAGGGAATGGATGATGCTACCATAGACTGAGAAGGCCTCTCTAAGGAGGTGACCTCTCAGTCATTCACTCATTTATTAAATGCCTTCTATGTGTCAGGCACTGTTCTAGGCACTGGCAATTCTTGAAGTGAAGAGACAAAAGCTGCAGTCCTCATGAAGCTCGCATTCAACAGGGAGACACAGACAAAGCAAACGTGAAAAAACCATCATACGTCAGCAGACGATAAGTGCCAAGAAAAGGGTGCCCGCCAAGAAGTACAGAGGCGGCAGTGGTGCAGTTTACATCCATCAAAGCAGTCCTCATGAAGAAGGTGATATTACCGTCAACACTAGAGGGAAGGGAGGGGCAAAGATGAGACAGAGCTCCTTCAGGAGCTGAGAGAAGTAGATGGACACGGCCCCGAGGTGAGAATGATAGTGCCTGGAGTGTGGTGAGCTGATGGAGAGGGAGGCGAAAGGTCTGGCTAGGGAGTGTGGATTTTATTCCACAGCCAAGGAAAAGACCTTGAACTGTTTTAATCAACGCAGAAGGGGGAGGTGATCTGATCATAGGGGGAAAATGTGCACCGTGGATAGGCCAGTTCATAGTTTTTTTCCGTAGCTAAATGAGATAGTATTTATAAAGAAAGAATCTTTAAATAAATATTTGTGCCTTCTAAGTCCATGATTTAATCTCTCAGAATTTATCCTAAGAAAATAATCCCACCCTTAAAGCAATTTTCCTGGCCTCCATATATTCCTGATTCAAACATGTGCATATGTGCATGTACCACACACACTCACAATAACATACATAAACTATTTTCCTTCCAGGTGTCCCCATCGACCAAATTACTTCCAATACCCACCTACCCACCACCTCCCTCTTTACTGAGAGCCAAAAACCTGTATTACACTTATACAAACAAGAGATGGCAAGTTTGTTTTGTTGAACAAAAACTGATTTGCCCGTACATGAAATGAAATGACAGCTGGCTTGGTGTTAGCAAATCTTTTGCATTCTGTCATTTTAAAAGCCTTTAATGTATTTTGCTTTATTTTGAAATTCAACCCACTCCCCCCAAGCCCAATTTTTAACCATCTTAACTCCTCCTCTATCATATACACATTTCTGGCATTCTGGCATGGTTCTGGTATGTTTAAAGAAGTTTGGTCCTCTTGTCTTTTTTTTTTTCTGAATACACATACATACAAACTCACACACTCAACCTTTCATATACCTGTTCTTTAAATTTGAATTTTGAATATATTAAGTGTACCTAGAAAAAAAAGGCATGCCTATTACAGGATCAAGCCAGCCTGGTGGTCTAGAGGTTAAGTTTCAGTGCCCTCACAGCCACAGCCTAGGCTCGTTTGCCAGTCAAGAAACCACACTACTCATCTATCGGTTGTCTTAGTGCAGCAGCTGCATGTTGCTGTAATGCTGAAAGCTATGTCACTGGTAATTCAAATACCAGCAGGGTCACCCATGGTGGACAGGTTCCAGCAGAGTTTCCAGACTAGGACGAAGGACCTGGCTGCCCACTTCCAGAAACACTGGCAAGGAAAACTCTATGAAGAGCAGCCTAGCACTGTTTGATGCAGCTCCAGTGCAAAGAAGGACCAGGCAGCATTCAGCTCTGCTGTACACAGGATCACTAGGAGTCGGAATCAATTCAATGGCACTAACAACAAATTACGTGAATCAATAATTTGGTGATATTATTACCAAGTCAAACTCTCTCTTGATCATGAACTGCCTATTACAGAAAAGGCTCCCAGCACAAAGTTGAAATGCCAGTAAGATTACCTGCCATCCTTCTCTCACTGTGGCTTTCTTCATAAATAGTCAGAACTGAATCTCGACACATATAAGACCCAGGGAGTGACAGATACTCAACCGTAAATTTTGCCATACTACTTGGTGAAACTCTGAGCACCCAAGAACATTCCAGCTTTCCTCTATAATCCAGAGGATATCTTGGAGTTGAAAAGAAGCCTCTGGGTTCTTCTAGCTCCACTTCAGAGTAACAGCCTGCAATTCAGAACACGTGGACACCATAAACATATGTGGACCAGCATAAACAACGCAAAAAAAAAAAATGAGGTTCTATTACAAAGTTGAAAAATTTAGGCTTTCAAAAAGAAAATTAAAACTTCATTGCTATCAGTTACAAGTTCCTCGGTGAAAGAGATCACCCCATCCGATGTGTCCTATTTTCTTGAAATGAGATTGCAGGAGCAGAATTTAAATCATAATTATTTAAAATTACTTTTAACTGAATTTTTTAAATTTCTTAGAAAACACACAGAGGACTGCATTCGCTATGTCCAGCATGTTTTCATTTCGTTCCTTCTTTAAGATGTAACTGAAGATCTGTTCCTAAAAGCTTCACTAACTTGAGTGAGCATTTATCTTGCTGGGACAAATGATTACACACATGGGGTTTGTGACTGAGGTCAAGAAAAGGAGAATTTGCTGAACACAACTGAATGTCTCTCACTTCTTCCGCTTGCTTTTAAGTCCAAGGGCAACTTGGACCTGCAGGGGCATCTGCAGAGCTTCAGATGCCAGTAGCTCTCTGGCCCTCTGACCCTGTAATCAGCTTCTCCTTCTTCAGATTACATCCTTGACTCTTTGCTCTTCCCCTATGTCAATTCCGTTGACAAAAATCTGAGCAATTACACATTGAAATACTCTATATTCAAATTAACTCATTTTAATGTATGAGTATTAGTTAATACATATATTATTATATATTCTCTCCCATAGAGAAATTAATAATCTAACCAAGGAGAAACATACGTAAATATACTTTTATGAACAGTAGAGATGAAGAGTGGCAGAGGAAAATGAAATGCTACAAGAATTTGGATCCTACTTAATTGTCTAGTTCTTTGAAAATACTCCTTTTCATTTATATGGCTACTATGATCTAATTTTGATATTTATTAGGTCTACATTGATTTAATAGTAACCTAACTGATTTCCCAGCCTCTAATCTTCCCCACAATGTCCTCTATTCTGGTGGTAGTATATGAAACAAAAGAATTAAATTCTTTCCTTGCTCAAAGCAACTAAAGCAGAGCAGCTTGCAAGGTCTTTCAGAGTCTGGCCCCAACATGTTTTTCCAATCTTCAATTTTTTTCCTCTCCATGTGAATCCTCCATGACAAGTCTGCCAGGAAAAGGAATTCCCAACCAGTCACTGCTTTTTCTAAATGGGATAACAATCTCAAAAAAACTATTGCTAAGATTCATTAATTCCCTTGTGTAAAAAGCAAGCTGTGGGAGTGGGTGGGTATTAAATAAGGCATAGCCCTAACATTCTATCTCATAGAATAGTCATAGAACTAAAACAAAACAATATCCTTTCATATGTAAAACTTTATCTGGCATGAATAAGTTTTTCTGAGTATATACAAATGAGAAATAGCTTCTCTACATTTTAATAACGTCCATTTTCTAATAGCCTTAATGAGACAGTTCAAAGACTACATTAGATGGTCATGACCACCATCATCTATAAACCCTTATGCATTGGTCATACCATCTCTATTCTAAGTGCTCTATATGCATTAACTTACTTAGATACTCACTGAAATTGTTCATTGAACTCAAACATTGAAATCATTAGGTTTTAGGATCTTAGACATAAGTCTGCTCTCCATCGCAATCTTGACTCCAGATTTACTTTTAATCTAAATATCACTCTTTGACTTTCATTTTGACTCACTGTTGTCCGACTATACCACCCACAACTGGTCCCTGAGTTACTTCTCCTTATTCCTAGAAGCTTCCTTAGCAGTCATTTTCTCTAACACTATTCCTGCCATAAATCTTGCTGATTTCAATAGCCATATAGATGATGATTCCATCCCTGAAGCTTCTCAATTTCTCAGCTTTACTGCACTGATCTTGTCCTCCACTCAACATCAACCATCATCCCAATAGCCAGTCCCTAGAGACGTGGTCGTTAGCAATAACTCTAAGCCTTTCATAATCTCAGTTTCAAGCACCACTCTCTCCAACCACAACCTTTTATCTTTTCAGCTTCCTTTAACACTCCTTCCACCTTTTGAAACTTGTACTTCATCTATCCTAGCACCTTTTCTTTGTCCCTAACTCATCTTTCATCCTTGCTTCACTCTTTTCCTAGCTTAAATTCCAACGATCCATCATTTTAATCCCTTCTTCACATACTCAATTCCATTATACTCTTACATACTTGGGAAAACCCACTCTCACTGAATCTACTCTCCACCTGCTCTGCATCTATGTGGTACTCCTCTGCGTCTCCAAACGAAAACATACAGCTAAGCTAACTGATTAGTCTCCTTCTAAATTCATGATCATTAATCTAAGAGGCTTTTATGCTGCCCAAGAATCCTACTACATTTTCCTAGTCCGTGCACCTTGTCACTTTTTTAGAGAAGTATTTCATACCTTCTTTTCTTAAAATACTCAAACCCTCTTCACAACCCCGTTTCATCTGCTGAGAAAATAGAAGCAATTAGAAGAGAACTGCCGGAAGCTCCTGTCCTCACGTGTACCTGCATCAGTGCCTAAATACTCTGCCTTCCATCCAGCAACTACGATGAACTGCTCTTTGCTCCTATCCAAGACCAACCCTCCAGCTAGGCACTAGGTCTCATCCCCTCTCTTCGACGGAAGGTCATCACTCGGCAATTCTCCCTCTCTTGTGCATCCTCTTCAATTTTCCTCTACCTCTGCCTAGCTTTCTATTGGGGTTGAGTACATGTGGGAGCGGGTGAGGCAAAAATGAGTGAAAAGGGAAAGATCCTGATGATTTGGAAACCAAGACTTAACGGTATCATAGAACTTTCATCTCCCTGCAAGTCTATCACCGACTTCTAATTCTCCAGTTGCTGCTCACTTTTAACTAGAAGTCAAGATCCTATTCGCAAACAGACACTGACAATTGTAGGAGAATTAAGAGAAACACTAACTCTGATGCTGGTCTTGGTCATCTCATATCCAGAGTCTTTACCTCACAAGATACCTTAAAGTCTAAGGATCTTTGTTCATATAGGAATAAATAGCTCAGAGGTCAGGATAATTCTATGCACTTCTCCAAAATTGAAGCACTTGTTCACAACCACAAGATTTTTTTTTTTTTTTTTTACCTGTAACAGCTGTATCTTTGGGACAGAAAAGATCCCCAGATAGTCACAATAATAACTCTCCTTTCTTTCAGCTTAAACTACCAGCCAGAATGAAAACAGAGTTTATAGTGCTCCAAAGAAAATCAGTGGATCCAGACATGCAGTGCTTTTTGATAAGTTCTTATTAGCTGTATTAATGGGATAACGTGGATATCTATTACCTGGCCTAGATGCACTGTCTGTTGAAGGTGTGGATGGTAGCAATTGTTGTCTTGTTAGGGTTTTACTTTCATTATCTATCTGAAGTGAAGCAGGACCTGTACCTGGAGAGAACATGTTAAAAATAAGTAGATAAAAGCCTGAGAACAAAATGTAGTCTGTACCAAAGCAGCTTTTGTCAAAAGAGAATGCAAATATAGGATTAAAACAGCCTCAGGAAAAGCGAGTTTTATCCAAACTCTGCCCAAGGGAGAACTTAGTCTTACTGAATTTTAATGTGCTTAGAAACTAAGATAAATGAAATACTACTTTATGGTCTTTGCTTTCATAATGCTGATTTCTATCACACTCAACTCTCCCAAACCCACTTAAAGAAAGAGGCATTGTTTCCATAGTATCTGAAAAATATTTACCTTTGATTTTGGATTGGATCCAGTCCAAGAAGACACTCACCCTGGCAAATACACCTGGCTTCCTTGGCTGGGCACAGCCGGCTCCCCAGCTGACAATGCCATAGAGGACAAAGGGACCTTTTTCATGTCTACATACTAATGGCCCACCAGAGTCTCCCTGAAACATCAAGAAAATGTGTTCTAGAAAATTGCTTTAATCAGAGCTCTTGCTTTCAGTTTTGGAACAGGAATAACCAATAACGTATTCATAGCACATTTCTTTAATTTAAAAAAAATTATTCTTTGTCTATTTGTATACCTTAGAACAGGTAGGCTCAAATAAGTAAAATCACAAATCAAAGAGGAGACATTACAACTGATCTCACAGAAATACAAAGAATCATAAGAGACTACTATGGACAATTATACACCTAAAAATTGGATAACCTAGAAGAAATAGATAAATTTCTAGAAACATACAAACTATCGAGACTATCAAGACTAAATTTCTAGAAACATACAAACTATCAAGACATAAGGAAATAGAAAATCTGAACAGATCAATACAAGTAAGGAGACTGAATCAGTAATCAAAAACATCAACAAAGAAAAGCCCAGGACATGGGGCTGGCCCCGTGGCCGAGTGGTTAAGTTTGCACGCTCTGCTTCTGCAGCCCAGGGTTCAGATCCTGGGCACAGACATGGCACCGCTCGTTAGGCCATGTCGAGTCGGCCTCCCACATGCCACAACTAGAAGGACCCACAATTAAAGTATACAACTATGTACGGGGGGGATTAGGGGAGGAAAAAAAAGCAGGAAAAAAAAAAAAGAAGAAGATTGGCAACAGTTGTTAGCCCAGGTGCCAATCTTTGAGGGAAAAAAAAAAGAAAAGAAAAGCCCAGGACAAGAAGCCTTCACTAGTGAATTCTACTAAACATTTAAAAGAGAATTAACTGCAATCCTTTTCAAACACTCCAAAAAATTACAGAGGAGGGAACACTCCAAAACTAACTTTACAAGACTAGCATTACCCTGATACCAAAGCAAGATAAGGACAATACAAGAAAAGAAAACCACAGGCCAATATCTCTGATGAACATAGATGCAAAAATCCACAATAAAATACTGGCAAACTGAATTCAAAAGCATATTAAAAGGATCATGCAGGGGGCTGGCCCCGTGGCCAAGTGGTTAAGTTCGCGTGCTCCATTGCAGGCAGCCCAGTGTTTCATTGGTTCGAATCCTGGGCGCGGACATGGCACTGCTCATCAAACCATGCTGAGGCAGGGTCCCACATGCCACAGCTAGAAGGACCCACAACAAAGAATATACAACTATGTACTGTGGGGCTTTGGGGAGAAAAAGGAAAAAAATAAAATCTTTAAAAAAAGAAAAAGGATCATGCACCATGATCAAGTGGGATTTATTCCAGTGATAAAGGATGGTCCAACATATGCAAATCAATACATGTGATACACCACATTAATAGAATGAAAGTTAAAAATCATATCATCCCAATAGAACAGAAAAAGCATTTGACAAAATGTAACATCCTTTCATGACAAAAATTCTCAACAAATTGAGCATAGATGGAACATATCTCAACATAATTAAGTCCTTATATAACAAATCCACAGCTAACATCATACTCAACAGTGAAAGGTTGAAAGCTTTTCCTCTAAGATCAGGAAAAAGAAAAGGGTGTGCACTCTCACCATTTCCATTCAATATAGTACTGGAAGTACTAGCTAGAGCAATCAGGCAAGAAAAGGAAATAAAAGGCATCCAAATCAGAGAGGAAGAAGTAAAACTGTATTTGCAGATGATATGATCTTATATACAGAAAATCCTAAAGACTCCACCAAAAAACTGTTAGAACTAATCAATGAATACAGTAAAATTTTAGGGTACAAAATGAACGCACAGAAATCAGTTGTGCCTCTATATATTAACAATGAAATATATATAAAAAAATAAATAAAACAATCCCATGTACAACAGCCTCAAGAAGAATAAAATACTTAGGAATAAATTTAACCAAGGAGGCAAAAGACCTCTACATTGAAAACTATAAGACTTTGATGAAAGAAATTGAAAACAACACAAATAAATGGAAAGATAACACATGTTGATGGATTGGAAGAGTTAATATTGTTAAAATGTCCATACTACTCAAAGCCATCTATAGATTCAATGCAGTCCATAATCAAAATTCCAATGGTAATTTTCACAGAAATAGAAAAACAATCATAAAATTCATATGGAACCACAAAAGACCCCAAATAGCTAAAGCATTCCTGAGAAAGAACAAAGTCAGAAGCACCACAATTCCTGATTTCAAAATATATTACAAATTTATAGTAATCAACACAGTGTTGTACTGACATAAAAATAAACACATAGACCAATGGGACGGAATCATGAGCCCAGAAAAAAACCCTCACATATACAGCCAACTAATATTTGAGAAGGGAGCAAAGAATACAGATCTTCATTGACTTATGGTGAGCTTACATCCTGATAAACCCATCATAAGTATAAAATATCATAAATCGAAAATGCATTCAATATGCCCAACCTACTGACCATCATTATTTAGCCTAGCCTACCTTAAACACGTTCAGAATACTTGCATTAGCCTACAGTTGGGCAAAATCATCTTAGACAAAGCTTATTTTATAATGAAGTGTTGAATATCTCATGTAATTATTAAATACTGTACTGAAAGTGAAAAACAGAATGGTTGCATGGGTACAGAATGGTTCTAAGTGTATAGGTTGTTTACCCTCATGATCATGTGGCTGACTGGGAGCTGTGACTTGCTGCTGCTGCCCAGCATAATGAGAGAGTATCGTACCATATATAACTATCCCAGGAAAAGATCAGAATTCAAAATTTGAAGTACAATTTCTACTGAATGCATATTGCTTTTGGACCATCTTAAAGTAAAAAAATCGTAAGTTGAACCATTGTAATTTTGGGACCATCTATACTCAATGGGGAAAACATAGTCTCTTCAATAAACAGTGTTGGGAAAACTGGATAACATGTAGAAGAATGAAATTGGACCCCTGTCTTACACCATTCACAAAAATTAACTTGAAATGGATTAAAGACTTAAATGTAAGTCCCAAAACCATGGAACTCCTAGAAGAAAACATACAGGAAAAGATCTTTGATAGTGATCTTGGCAACAACTTTTTGGATATGAAACCAAAAGCACAAGCAACAAAAGCAAAAATCAGTAAGTAGGACATTAAACTAAAATTCTTCCACACATCAGAAGAAACAATCAACAAAATGAAAAGACAACCTATGGAATGGGAGAAAATATTTGCAAACCATGTATCTGACAAGGGGCTAATATCTAATATATTAAAAGAATTCATACAACTCAATAACAAAAAACAACACAACTTGAAAATGAGTAGATGATCTGAATAGACATTTTTCCAAAGGAGACATACAGCTGGCTAACAGGTACATGAAAAGTGCTCAACATCACTAATCATCAGGGAATTACAAATCAAAACTACAATGAGATATCACCTCACACCTGTTAGAATGGCTGTCATCAAAAAAACAAGAGATAGGGGTCGGCCCCGTGGCCCAGTGGTTAAGTTTGCATGCTCTGCTTCGGCAGCCCAAGGTTTTGTGGGTTTGAATCGTAGGCATGGACCTAGCACCACTCATCAAGCCATGCTGAGGTAGCATCCCACATGCCAAAACTAGAAGGACCCACAACTAAAATATACAGCTATGTACTCTGGGGCTTTGGGGAGAAAACGGAAAAGTAAAATCTAAAAAAACCCCAAAAAACAGATGAGAGATAAAAGGTGTTGGCAAAGATGTGGAGAAAGGGAAGAACCCTTTGCACTGTTGTTGGTGGGAATATAAATTGGTATGCCACTATGGAAAATAATATGGAGCTTCCTCAAAAAATTAAAAATAGGATGACCGTATGATCCAACAATTCCACTTCTAGGTATATAGCCAAAGGTAATCAAAACAGGATATAGAAGAGGTATCTGCACCTCCATATTTATTGCAGCTTTTACTCACAAGAGCCAAGATATGGAAACAATCTATTTTTCCATCAAAGTATGAATGGATAAAGAACTGGTGGTATATATACAAAATGGAATATTATTCAGCCATGAGAAAGAAGGAAATCTTGCCATTTGTGACAACATAGATGGTTCTTGAGGTTATTATGCTAAGTACAAAGTCAGACTGAGAAAGACAAATACTGTATATCACTTATTCGTGGAATATAAATAAGCTAAACTCACAGAAACAGAGAGCAGAATGATGGTTACCAGGGTTGGGCGATGGGGAAAATGAAGAGATGTTGCTCAAAGGGCACAAACTTCCAGTTATGAGATTAACAGGTTCTGGGGATCTAATGTATAGCATGGTGACTATAGTTAACAATACTGTACTATATACTTGAAAGTTGCTTAGAGAGTAGATCTTAAATGTTCTCAGCACAAGAAAGAAATAGTAATTATGTGAGGTGATGGAGGTGTTTACTAATCCCCACTGTGGAAAGCATTTCACAATATATAAGTGTATCAAATCATCACATTGTTTATCTTAAACTTACACAATGTCATATGTCAATTATATCTCAAAACTGAAAAAACCCAAACCTTACAACATAGGATTTGCAATTTTTTTAAGGTAGCCTTTCTGATTTTTAATCAGGCCTTTTTTTTTTTTTTTTGCACAAATGTATTTAGGACCAAACTAAACCCTAAATTTAATTGTCTTCCTAAAAAATAAACTGAGCTGATGACATATTTGATATTGCTGTTTATTTTAAATGAGGAATTTCTCAGAAGAAATCCTCAATTTGGAGTAAGGAGATAGATTTCCTAGCCTGTAATATAGAACAATTAACACTTTCTCTGGGCTGAATTTCTTTCCACATAAAATAAGATTATATTTAAGACCCTCTTAGAGTTTGAAAATGGTCTGATGTATCAAATCAGGTTTTCCGAGTTTTTTAAAATCAATCATTCATTCAGCAACAACATAGCCAATATAGAATTTTCCAGGCAATTACAAACATTCCACAACAGTGAAAGAGCTTGTCTAATTTATCTTTTATTGCCTGTGTTTACCACAGAGCCTAGCATATGGTAAATATTCAATAAACAAATTGTACCTATTAATTACTTTGAAAATTATTCAGTGCCTACCATGAGCTAGGAACTCTGAGAAAGAGTATAGATGGTGATAATCTCTATAAAGGAAATATTCAGAGTGAAAAGTAGAGAATAAAGGTAGGTGTGAGTGTACTTACATGCACATGTATGTGTGTGTAGTTTCAATAACATTTGAGCTGATGGATGAAGGATGAGAAGGAGCTAGATTTTCAAAAACCTGGAGGAATAGCATTTTATGCAGAATTGACATGTGGGCAAAGGCCCCAAGTTAGGCAAGGATATGATGAAGTGAGAGGTCAGGAGGCACTCAGTGTGGCTGAAATATAGTAAGCAAGAGGAGAGAAGTATGAAGTAGATTGGGAAATATATCACTGTGAAGATAGAGTTCACATTGTAGGTCAAAGAACTTGAAATTTAAAAAAAATCTAAAGTCTAAAATTTGTTGTGAGCAAAGAATCACAGGATTCTACATTGCATATCTGAAACTCCCACATCTCTGCAGTCCAACATTCTGATTTTCACCTTCTCGGATGAGAAATTACATTAGCAGGTCCATTACCTCTGAGCATTCACAGGAAGGGAAAACTCAATTACCTGATAGAAATATGAGAGTCCATTTTATCTAAGCAAGTTTCATAAGTCACCTTTTAGTAATTCAGTGTTCTTTGTAGAAGAAAGCTAGCCACATTTATTACTCAGAATCTCAACTCCTATTTTGCTTCCCTTGTACTGACTATAAATTTGGTCATGCTGCAGCCAAAGGGACAGCTGGATGCAGCTGAAATAAGAATAGGTGACAACCAAGATCACGATATTTGGGTCACCTCTGACACGGACCTCATCCCCCCTGTAGTTCTTCTTTGCTCTCTTGATACAAATTAAGGTCTTCCCTTAATGTTAGATGCTGTCAAATATGACAGAGACAGAGGTATTTGTGAGTTTCTTGATTCAAAGCGAGAAGAAAAACCATCCCTCAAAAGGGGAAGAATGAACACATCAGTTCAGAGTACTTTTCTACTGGTGTTTATAATAGAACATTTATGTCCTCTAGCAGACAATGTGAGTGCCATTCCCACCTTCCTCAGATCTTGCGGTCCACATCCTGCCTCTGCACCTAAGGGCTTTCCTCCCTCTACCCCACCTGCCCAGGAGTTGGGCCAGAAGTGTGGGAAGTGCCCCGCCTGCAGCCCTGAAGCTATGACTCTGGAGAAATGGTGTATCAATATTCCAGCTCCCTCATCCCTCAGATGGGACAAATATGCTGCGTGTATTTTGCATCACTGCAGGATTAAGGGCAGTCCCTCCCTGTGGTAGCTGCCTTAACAGCACACTCTAGATTGGCTGCCTTCCCATCCCTATCACACATCTTCACTGTGCTGCCAGTGACACCTGCACTTGCTTCACAGACCACTGCACTTGCATCCTTGTCTCAGGGTCTGCTTCTGGGGAATGCAAATCAAGATATGTAAAATAAAACAAATTTGAGCAGTGCCTGACGCCATGAAAGGGTTAAACTACAATAAATTTATATTCAGGGGACCTCTTTATTAAGAGGGGACCTCTTTCCTTCTCTCTTCATATTTTCACATGGAAAGACTTCTACCCAGATTAATGCCCAGTCTTCTCCACGTAGAGATGACATCCATTGGTTCATGTTCCTTAACTGAGTTGGGGGAAAAACTATCAAAAAGCTGCAAAGACTAGAAATTCGTTCTTTCTTCCCTCTCTACTCTAGACCAGTACGAAATGATAAATCTGGAGAAGTTTGTCTGTTCTCAGACCCAAACTTTCCTCTACATGGGCTGCCTCAAATCCAGACTACATTAAAGGTGGGCTGCAGACTGTTAGAAACCCTTTTTGGTACTGCATTGTGCCTCTGTAGGAACACTGAAATTAAACTATTGCTTTGTGATTTATTTTTCACTGCATATGAAAACCATTTTTTTTCAAAATTTTTCATCTTCTTCTTTGTGATAATTTTATTTTAAAAATTATTCCTGTGGAGGAAAATTAAGTGTGAGTACACAGGAGATAAACAGTTTAAAACAACAAAACTCAAGTCATAAGTAGGCTACACTAATTTAGAATCCTTACTTGCTCATTCCCCTTTACCCAAAGCCTTAAATATATCTGAACACATCTTCCCACCTGCAGGCCAATTTACTGGTGTTGCCATCTCCTACCTCCTCATGGGCTCCTCTATGCACCCAAGTTGCCCTGGCTGTATGGATGCTTCTGCCCCGTCTCCACCATCTCAGCAAGTTTGGATTAAGTAACTCACTGTTTCTGTTGTCCTACTGGCCTTCACGTAGGGGTAGGGTGGTGTGATGCTGAGAGGCACAGGCTACGGAGGTTGTCTGGCTTTGAGAGTGGTTTCCTCCTGTCTAAAGAGAATCTCCAGTAGATGACAACTTTCTCATCTTCCTCTGCAAAATCAGAATCCTCTCACCTGACAGAAATCTTTCCCTCCAGACGCTGCAAAGCCAGCACAGATCATCTTCTCTGTGATCCCTCCTGGGTGAGCAGAATAGTAAGTGCGTTCGCAGACCTGTCTCTCTAACACGGGCACTTGAATCTGCTGTAAGCGACTGGCTAGGCCTCCACCAAATTAAGAAACAGATTCAGAAAGAGAGCTTGATAACAAAGCAGGGACCAAGTGATGTTAAGGGAATGTATTTAAGTTCAGACTTGCTTTGCACCAATATAATTGCAATCCTTCGGTTTTGTCTAAGCTGATGTAGAATACTGAACCAAAAATTACAAGTGTCTTATGTAGGATATCTTCATTTCCAGATGTGGCATCTTTGTAAAGGAAGTCCATCGGCAGGAGAACAGGACCAGAAACACTTCTTTCCTAGCTTATTTCTGATTTAAATGTTAGTGTTTCAAATATTGCTACATAAGAATTCAGAAAGAGAAACTCAGCAAGATATGAATTGGTATTATACATGACATATTATTAGAAATATATATGGTTATACATTTAAACACATATTTTATGTAAATATATAAGTATGTAATAACAATATGTTTATATGATTTCCTAATATAAACCAAAATCATATTCCTCTGTCCTCTATTATCACTGAGGCCTAAATCTCAACACTGATTTAAGATGACACTAATGATGAACATTGAAGAATTTCTCCTCCTACCTGACCCTCAGGCAGGCCTATGTTAACATGTATTTTGCATGACTTATTCTATCACTTTAGACTTATGACTAATTAAAAAAGATAAATTTAGTATTTTATAGCCCTGTATCTTTTTGAAAAAATTAATAAAAATTACTTTACACTTATATAGTACCTTAATATTTATAAAGTCCTTTACTCCAGTCTAATAAGACTTACAACAACACTGTGAGGTGGGCTCTCACACTGATCTCAGGCATGAAAAGTCAGAGCTCTGAAAATGTGATCTCCCAGCACCTATGGGACAGAACCAGGACTCAAGCCTGGGTCGGACTTTAAATCTTGTCCTCTTTTTAATGTATTAATCTAATACATAAATAATTTAATGTATTTAAAATCCTCTTGGGGCCGCCCTGGTGGCACAGTGGTTGAGTTCACACGTTCCGCTTTGGCGGCCCGGGCTTCGCCAGTTCGAATCCCAGGTGCGGACATAGCACTGCTTGGCAAGCCATGCTGTGGTAGGCGTCCCATATATAAAGTAGAGGAGGATGGGCATGGATGTTAGCTCAGGGCCAGTCTTCCTCAGCAAAAAGAGGAAGATTGGCAGCAGATGTTAGCTCAGAGCTAATCTTCCTCAAAATAAATAAATAAAATAAAATAAAATCCCCTTTTCAGGGACTATCCCCATCAGTGTCGCTTCCTATGTCTCAAAATCAAGAACTCCTCTTCTCTCCGAGATTGAAAGGATGAGTTCACCTTTTGTAAGACTGCAACCACCTCTCAGTTGTCTGGTGGTCATGGAGTTGGTGAAGGTTGAAGGTGTTAGAGAACAAGGGCCTTGAAGCCAATCCGTCAATAAATGTTTACTGAGTATTTATTCTAAGTAGACTTCTACCCTCAGGGAGAGAGTGGTAAATTAGGTGGAGATCTGCCTCCCAGAGGCCCCCACTCTAATGGGTGAGATGTAGGACATTATTATATAAAATAACGTCAAGTACGTGTACGTGCAATGAGATGATAAAACTGGGTAGTGCAGAAAGTGATGGAAGGACAGTCCGGCTGCAGCAAAGTGGTCTGAGAAGATTTGATCTGAGAATGGAATGAGGAGGGGGCAGCTGTGAGAGGACTAGAATAAGAACATTCCACGTGGAAGGAAATAAAGTACAGAGCCTGAGAAAGCAGAACAAGTTTGGTGTTCAAGAGGAAGAACAAAGACCATGATGCCTGAAGGTTAGCCAACAAGAGGACAACAGGAGGAAATGAGGTTGGAGAGTTATGTGGAGGCCAAATCGCATACAGCTTTCAAAGTCAGGCTAGGAGTCCAGACTTTATTGGGAATGTAACAAAAAGCCACTCAAGGATTATCAGAGAAGCCACGCTGATTTTAAATCCTAGCTTTGATATTTATTAGCCATGGGATCTTAGCAAAATACTTAAATTAGGGGGCCATAATCTCCTCATTCACAAAATAGGGGGATAAAATCTCCTCATATGGTGGTTGTGAAGATTTTAGGAATATGCAATTTGGCTGCAGGTAGCACAGTAAACCAGGAACATAAACACTGAACACAGTCAAAGATAAATTCCCCTCTCCCTCAAGCTCAGAGATTCTAAATAAATGAGACATAAACAGAAGGAAAATATAAAAGAAAATTATTTACACAGTGAAAAAGAGCAAAAAACAAACATCAGCCCATTCAGATCTTTCAATGCTTTGCCATGGCTTTAAGAACTCTATCCTCTAGCCCAGGGCTCAGCAAAGCCCAGCCAGTGGGCCAATTCCATGCCAGCCCCACCGTCCCATCTTTGGACCTATTTAGTACAATCCATGAACTAATAATGGCTTGTACATTTTTAAATGGTTGAAAAGAAAATCCAAAGAAGAATAATATTTCATGGCACAAGAATATTTTATAAAATTTCAGTTTCATGAATGAAGTTCTTTTGGAACACAGCCACATTCATTCTGTTACATAATGTCTATGGCTGCTTTGCACTACAACGGCAGAGTTGAATAGTTGTGAGATAGACTATATGGCCTACAAGGCCTAAGAAACATTATCTGGCCCTTTATAGATCTAGCCTACCTATAATTAAGTCACCCTGATGGAAAAATATTAAATAGCCCCTTCTGTAATTTGATGAGCTATTACAGCTAAATAAAACATGGTTTCTATCTCTCAGAAGGAAGAAGGGCTAAAGCAGATAATGCTTGATATCATTTCCATGACATATTCTCCAAAATATCAACCAGCAGTATTGTTTGCACAAAAGTAAAGTGTTTACCTTCACTAATGCATCCCCATCCAGTCACAGCACAGATCTCAGAGGAAAGCAGAGGCTCCACGCTGTGTGGGAGACATACTGGTCCCACCATGGAGTTGAATTCCAGGGGAGAGCTCAGTTGTATAAGGGAGATGTCAGAGTCATAGGTCAGTCTATCAAAGTCTTCATGGACCATGATGTCCTTTACACGTCTCACCTGTATCATTGCCAAGCAATCGAATTACAAGATAAAGCCAATGAGTCAAACTACTTCCTTGCATAATCGTCCAAAATAATCTTAAATCTCTACATTTCCACACCTCAGCCATGAAGATGACTGAGGTTTTATTTTAAATTTTAAATTTTAAAGGGCAATCTATGTTTATTATTTGCAGGAGGCCAAGGACCGCTTTCTGAAGAGTGGAAGTCCTGGAGAAAACAGATTATGTGTACTTGGGTACATGGACCTGAATTTGTATTTCCTGAGCAAACTCACCTAATTCTCACATTAAAATGTGATCTCAAATGGTATCTTTAAATATTGGTATTATATGATAAAGTGTAAGGGGGCACCAGGAGATTAATACATTATTATATATTTTAGCTAAAGGTATTCCCTGGGATGCGACAACACTCAGAGTACAGGCAGATGATCTTTAAAAACATTTCTCACTTGCTCAGTTGATTCTTTCAGGGTTCTGTCATGGTCCCCAGCAACAACGGTCCAGAAAAGTGGATTATTTTTTCTGGAGAAAGAACAAGCAAAAGTTGACATGAAAACACATTTTTGGGGGCTGGCCCCATGGTCTAGTGGTTAAGTTCAGTGTGCTTTGCTTTGGCAGCCCGGGTTCAGTTCCCAGGTGTGGATCTATACCACTCATCAGCAGCCATGCTGTGGTGGTGACCTACATACAAAATAGAGGAAGACTGGCACAGATGTTAGCTCAAGGCTAATCTTCCTCAAGCAAAAATAAGAGTGGCAACAGATGTTAGCTCAGGGAGAATGTTCCTCAGCAAAAAAACCAAACATATTTTTCACCATTTGGTCTAACCCTGTCTGGCTCTAACAAAATGCACTGTTCAGTTCAGCCAGGTGCCACCCTGGTGCCTTTGTGTAATCTCCTACCTGGGAAGGCACATCACACCACCTGATCTACCTAGGGAGAAGTTCTTAATTGTGTATCTTGCCCCCTTCTTTTGGTAAAATGTCTTTGGAGCCCTTATCAAATATCACCAAAGGCTGTTTTTAAGTTGAGAAGGAAAAAAAGAATAATTAGAGCTTATTTTAATTTCACAGTGATATAAGAACATGTGAAAACAAATTACTTTCATAATGAGGTAGCTTCTGGTCTATGCTTTACTGTTCAAAATAGCCAAACATTATATTACAGGAATATATCTCAAACTGTCATCTTTTATCAATCACCAGGATTGGTGAAACTGAGGTTAAAAAAAATTTATCAGTTCAAAGATAGGTAAAATTCACCTATAGTGTTAGAAATAAGGGCACTGATTCCTTTGAGGGGAATGATGGTTGGAAGAGGCCTGAGGGCAGCTGCTGAGTGTCAGCAATATTTTTTTCTTGATCTAGGTGGTTACATGACTGTTCATTTTGTGAAAATTCCTCTAACTGTATACTTAAGATTTGCACACTTTTGACGTACTTCAAAAAGACGTTTAAAAACTTGAATCAATATCCATTAATTTGCCATCAAGATCTCCAGCTGAAAAAATATCCAAGGAAAGAGGCCCTCAATTGCCACAAATATACTGCCACTTTAGCTTGGAGATTAATTTTTCATTTTTCAAAACTGTTTCTTCAAGAAAAGTAAAGTTATTGAAATGATTTTTCAACACACTTTATTCAAAGGAGAAGTTCCGTAATTACACATAGGCATCTTCTCTCTAATCATAACCATGCTCATTTCAATTCCTTGCATGATGAGTCTGGCTTATTCATGGGTTTCAGTATGCCTTTATTAGGGGAGCTAACTCAAGCAAAGTGATTGGCAAGTACCTTACAGATGGAATGATTCATAATGGTAGCCATTATCATTGTTATTATCTGCCATCAACTCTAATGGAAGGATTAAACTTTATTCTCAAAGTCACCCTCTAAATTATTACTAGGTAGTAAAGAAACATTTCTTAAAGCCCCTCGACTTCTTTCTATAGGGGATAGTGCCCATAACACAATCAAATAATAAAAATCATGGTACACTTGATAATGTAGATCACGATTTCTAGTGAAGTTTTATATGCACCGTCCTCCAATATCCTTTATTTTAATTTGGTAGAGAACACTGTGAAAAAAATCACATGATAAAGCACCATCCACTGTGAGGCAACGAAGCCTGAGATTTTTCCAATAGTGGGATTGTTACTGGTGCCCTGGGTTCTTGTCATCACCCAGGATAGAAATCAAGAGAGATAACGAGCAGGAGTGAGGAGTTAGAAAGTTTACCAGCTTGTGCACAAGGGAGCCAGTTGTGAAAAGTAGAAGAAGGGAGAGAGAGAGGCAAGTGGCTCCCTGAACAACCACACTATCAGGCTGTGGCAGAGGATGCATCTTCCATCATGGCATGTAGAGGTGGAGTTGTGTTTGTGCCTGCACTGTCTGGCAGCATGTCACTACTTGTGTCACATGTATCATTAGCATGCTAGCTCTCCACCCCTGGGTGTGATTTTTACTATGGTAATAAGGCAAAAGATCCTTTCAGCCAACTCCTGGGTGCCAGGGCACATGCATAAGCCGAGGAAAGTCCCAAGGCTGCAGAATGTGGATCTTGGTGGTCGCTATCTGATCAGACAATTAAAGCATTCTTAATATTGATTACTTCCAGAGAGGAGGAACAGATCAGTGAAATAGAGTAGTTTAGATTTTACTTGATAACTTTCTTTAAATGCCTTTTTCCACAATCATTACTATTAGGGAAAAATTTTTAAAGAAATCAAGAAGAGTCACTGATGAAATTATATACAAATTCTTCTTGTGGTTAACTTCAAGGGCTCATAAACATTTACAGCTGTGTTTAATTCATCTCAATTGACTCATCAAGTTGAATATTCCACCTTGTGAAGAAAAGTTTTGGTATGGTCTATATTTCACTGCAAGGTATCATGGCCCATCACATAAATTCAAGAATAGACTATACTATTTGACAAGGGAGTCTGCCAAAGCTTCTTCTGCAACTCTGGCATCAATATTAATATTTTTATTTTCCAATACATTAATTTTCACTAATTAGTCAGCTACTATTGAGGCTTATTTTCCATGGTACTTAAAAATGCACATTGATAGAATTCTTATAAAATGGACTTCTCCAAGAGAGGGTGGCTAGAATGAACAATGTCATACTGGATTGAGTTGGAAATATCCACACGAACTCATGTGTAGCTTAAAATACATACAAATAGATAAATATGCTTATATAAATGGGTTAGTATGCACACCTATATTTTCTAGCTGTCAGCTAAGACAGCCTAGAAGCAAGAACACCCTAGTAGCAACTAGTATACCCAGCACCCAGACCTTGATTTTTCATACCATTTTCCAATAAAATGAACCAGGGCTCACTGGAGAAGTGGCTGATTCTAAGACTGAGGAGGGAATGTATAAGACGAACCTGGAGCATCTTGCAATGTCACAAAAGGATGGGAGCATGTCAAAAAGACAAGAAGCCAGGGGCTGACCCAGTGGCACAGCGGTTAAGTTTGCACATTCTGCTTCGGCAGCTCAGGGTTTGCTGATTCAGATCCCGGGTGCGGACCTACACGCTGCTTGTCAAGCCATGCTGTGGCAGGCATCCCACATATAAAGTAGAGGAAGATGGGCATGGATAGTAGCTCAGGGCCAGTTTTCCTTAGCAAAAAGAGGAGGATTGGTAGCAGATGTTAGCTTAGAGCTAATCTTCTTCAAAAAAAATTAAACAAAAAAAAGACAAGAAGCCACACTGAAAGTGCTCACAATGGTCAAAGCTGGAACAAGTTGAGCAAGAGAATAAATACTTAGTATGTAGAAAATAAATATCCCTGAGTCCATACCGATACAAAGAAGTGATTTAATAAAAGGAGAAGAGACAAGCCTCCCATACAGAAGAATTTCAAATAATTTATGTAAATAATCCTTGCTTAAGGAGGTGGAACTTAACGCCCAACCCCTTGAGTGTGGGCTACCCTTAGTGACTTGCTTCCAAAGAGTAAGTATGGAAAGGGGGAAAATGCGACTTTACAGTGGAGATACCTGGCAAACTCTACCTCCGCCAGCGATCAAGGTTAACATCATCAGTGGTAGGTCATGTTGATAGCATGTACCCTTGATATGATGTGATAAGAATGGCACGTAACCTCTGTGGTCTTCCTCCCCCAAATCCATAATCCTAGTAAAACCATGAGGGAAAAAATCAGACGAACTCAAATGGAGGGACATTCTACAAAATAGCAGATGAATACTCCTAAAAATTGTCAAGGTCATCAAAAACAAGGAGAGTCTATGAAACTTACAGCCAAGAGGAGCCCAAGGAGACAAGACAACTAAACATAATGTGGTATCCTGAACGGCAGAGGGAACAGCAACTACAACGACCTTGAAACAGAAACAAGCAGAGTGTGTTTGAGGAATGGGACTGGCCCACCGTGAACAAGTAGGGGAGTGGTCAAGACGGGATCAGAGAGACAGGGAATGGCTCTTGACCTTGGCTGTGTTGGAATCATCTGGGGAGTACTTAAAAATATGGTGTCCAGAATCTACATACAAATGATTGACTTAGTGTGGACTGAAAATAAACTAAAGTTACACACACCCACATGGCTTAATCTATATAACATGTTATGAGAATAAAAGCAAGTCAGAGAAGAATACAAACTACAAATCTTTTACATTAATATCAAAACCAAGAACAACCAAACTGTTTTTAAGGATTCATAGATGATAAAGCAAAAAAAAAAAAAAAAGAGCAAGGAAATTATGAATATAAAATTTAACATAGTGTTTACCCTGTGGAGGGGCACTAAGGAGTCTTGAAAGGTAGGCTTAAAGATCCCTCCTACACTAGGTAAGGGGGACAAAAGTGTACATTTACTAACTATTCTTTAGACTACATATATATTATGTACATCCTTTCATATCATGGCATAGCTCACAATTTTAAAACATTGAAAAAGTTAACCAAAATTTTAGTTCACTAGTAGTCCAGGGCTCTACATTATTGTGACCATATTTTAAAAGCAACAAAACTAAACCTCCCCAGGGGAAGGTGTACTGCGTGGTGAAGCATCTGGAATTACTGACAAACAACAGAATGATGAGCATTTAGCTTATAGATTAAATTCAAGTGCAAGGGGTCTTCAAATATAGAAAGGACTGTTATGTGAAAGAAGAAATAAACATAGTTCTTGTTTTCTGGAACTACAGTAAATTTATACCAATAAGTTTAGTCTTGGTCTCAACATAACAATCAGAGATGCCCACAAAAGGGATGAGCAATTTCAAGATCTGATTAGGTTTTTCCTCATTAACATTATTTAGAGGCTAGATGGTTAGGCAAAAGAAACACTGAAAGGAAGATTCTTGCTTTAGAATTAGTCTGGATGGTTTTAGTAGTTAGACAATGTATTTATGTCCTAGGTATGGTCTATAAATACATCAGTAAACTAACATCACTTTCACTCACAGTTGCACACAGTGGGCTGCAGTCAGAATCCAAACTGGGTTGATGATGGCACCTCCACACTGGTGAGTGCCCAGAAACCTCAAACCCACCTGCCACGGCCAACAGTGGGGGCAGGCTTCTTCCCCTCCTGCAATTCTTCTGGAAAGCCACTGGGGACTGAACGGAGGGATACCACAGACACCTAGGGCAAAGAAGATGAAACGAATGACCCATCCAACTGAAATAATTAAGAACACATTCCTCCTCCAATGCCTTGCCATAGCCAACAGTGGTACTTCGCAAACACCAGATGAGCTTTATCAAGATGTGGATTACTAAGACCCACCTCCGAGGAACCTGATTTGAAAAGTTTGCCTAGATGACTCTGCTAATCAATCAGGTTTTTAGGTACTGGCCTACAGAATGATATTTATTCATTCATTTAACAAATATTTATTTAGTGCTTGGTACTGCCAGGCACTGTTCTAGGCATTGGTGATATATCAAGTGAATAGAACAAACAAAAATCCTGACCCTCATGGAACTTATATTCCAGTAGGAAAATTTTGTCTGTTAGCAAGGCATACAAGTTCTTCATTATAAGTCTTCATTTTCTCTGTCTTTCTCACTGTATGAAACCATTTATGAATCCTCAATCGTACCAAATTCACAGCATCTTAATGCTCTTCTCTTGTCTGGAATACTGCAGGGACTCAGCCCAAGTGTATCTTCTCCATGAAGCCTTCTCTGACTTCCCTGTAAGAGGCAGACATTTTCTCCTGTTACAGCTCCCTGTACAACTTTCTACTACAGCCCATCAACTGGACCTTTTTCAATACATGCAGACAGAGCGACAAAAGATCATAATTATTTAAACAGATACTTTAAATTATACGGAAGTTAAAAGTTCCCAGTTGAAAAACAAAACAAAAACCTTTGCCTCTTTGCATCTAATGCATAATCATAATAAATACAGAGTCTAGGAAGATATTATAAATATTAAGTTTGCACAGGGGTAGATGGGGACAAAGGATTGCTCTCTGTGCCCCTTTCTTCTTATCATAAAGCTTATTTCTTCTTCCCTCTATTTAGGAGTCTATTTGCAAACCCAAAGAAGATCCTGGAGATTTCATGGACCTGAATATAACACTCATTCTTCTTCACTGTGGAGTCAATGTAAGATAAGGCCTTTGAAAGGATATATCTAATTAAAGAAGAAAGGAGATTGCACAGATATTACTCACATGGCCATCAGCTCACCATATGGAATAGGTTTTGCAGGAGAAACAGGATTGGTTTTGGCAGGTGATGTCGATCCAATTTTGTTTAAAGAGTCTGTAGGGGAAAAATTTCTTTAATTGAAAATATTTAGAGTAGTCTACACTGGCTGATCCTGCTTGCTTACCCTGGTCAATCACCAAACCACTCTAACGTAGATCTCACTAATACTACCCATCAAATGCTAAATGCCAGGTCCCACAGATGTGATTTGTCATTTCTCTCTTAACATCCCTGTTGCATCTGACCCTTTTAAGCCTCTCTTCCCTCCGTGGCTCTGTGAAGTTACTCTCTTGATTTTCTTGATATATCTATGGCCATCTCTTCTCAACCTCAGTCTTTTTTTCAGGATCCTATTCTTCAGCCTGAAAGATATTCCACAAGGCACGGTTCATAACCCTACTTTTATTCATTTACATATATATGACTTCCAAATTTTTCTCTTCAGTCTAAATCTCTTTCCTGAATTCTAGATCTAGGACTGCTAGATATCTGTTTCTGGAACTCCCACAAGCTCATAAAAATCCACACGTCTCAAATGGAACCAATTGATTTTATGTGTCTACACGGTCTTACATTTCTTTGTATCATTTAGTGACTCCACCATCCATCTAGCGACCTAAGCTAGAATTTTGAAAATCATGCTGGAATTTTTCTCCTTCATATACTCCTCATCACAGCATATATAATCAAGGAATATATCTAGAATAAATTCTTATAAAGACTTCCTCTCTACCCTCCTTGCATGGAAGTTCACCCCTAATCTCCATCTTCCACATTACTACCAAGGTTTGAATTCTGGCTCCAGAATTCTTTGCCAGTTATGCATCTTTGGGAAAGTTAGGTAACCTCTCTAAGCCTCTGTTCCCTCATCGGTGAAAAGGGCAACAGTGTACAAACCTCTTAGGTCTGTAATGAGGACTAAAGGTGATAATACATGTGAAATGCTTAGTCTATACCTGGTACAGAGCAAGGAATCAGTAAATGTTAGCTAGCTATCCTATCAATCTGGTACTTAAAATTTGATGTCCTACATCCATCATGATCCAATTCTTTGCCTTCTTTATTATTCCCTCCAAAACTTGAACAATGTTGAATTATTTGTAGTTTTCTGTACATCATCCATTCTCTTTCACATTAGAGTCTTTGCATACGATATTCCTTTTGTCTAAGTAAAGGCTACTTTATCTTCTAGAATGCCTAGAAATCCATTAATCCTTCAAAACCCTCAAACATCCCAAAACAGAGCCAGTCAATCTCATTTCTGAATTACAGCCTCTAATCTAAATTACCTACTTTTCATAGAAGGTGCTTGGAATCTGTTTCGATCATCTAGTGGATGTAGTTTCTTGGCATCACCTTCAGTGCTAGTTAAAGAACATATTCCTGGGCCTCATGCCAGATCTATAGAATCTAAATCTTTGGGAGTACGCCCAGGAATCTGCATTTCTATTTTGCCACCTACGCAATTCAAGCACCCTAAATTTAGGTAAACATGCTAAATTATCTTCCCTATAACCATTTTCGTAAGCAAAAATCACTACTGCACAAGTGTTCATACTCACCTGAGGGCAGACAGGTGAATCTAGCCTTGAAGCCTCGGAAGTTATTTTCACCATCACTTTTAAAATGAATGACCATCATGTCACCAGGACTGAATACTGGAGTAGGGCTCAAGGTTCCACAAAGTTTAGCTGTAAAAGTTTTAGGGAAGTTTGAATTATACTAAAAATCAGAAAACACAGGTAAAACATCATCTAATTAATTCTTTTCAGCCACTTTGGTTCTCTTCAGCTTTGGTTAGTAGGCATACCCTTCCATTTCATGTAGGAATTAAACACTAGTTTCAAGATAACAATGTACTGTATTTTTATCTCACAGAAAAAAGTCTATAGATACGGCAAGGACATTTGATTTTCAGTAGGCATAGAAACTTCAATTGATTGTTAATTTGCAGACAGTGAGGTGGGTAACAAAATCTCAAACTCGGCATTCCCCCTTCCAAACAACATGGCGGCATTTTAAGTGAAGAGGTAACACCTGAATCTGCTTAACCCCACTTTGTACAGGTCTCATTCTGCTGGATCAACACATTATGCTTCCACTCACCTGTCCTGAATATCCAAATAAACATTCTGGACCTATGTTCCATGCCTCCAACCCACACTAACACTCAACTGAGGGGCAAATAGAAGGTGTTCAGGAAGCGACTACATGGCCAGAAGGGATTTGTATTTTAGGAAGACTAGCCCTGAGCTAACATCCGCCATCAATCCTCCTCCTTTTGCTGTGGAAGACTGGCCCTGAGCTAAGATCTGTGCCCAGCTTCCTGTACTTTATATGTGGGACACCTGCCACAGCATGGCTTGGTAAGTTTGCATAGGTCCATGCCTGGGATCCAAACCGGTGAACCTGGGTTGCCAAAGCGGAGCATGCAAACTTAACTGCTACACCACCAGGCCAGCCCTGGAAGGGATCATTTTTTTATACTCAGCAGATTGGAAGGTCAAAACTGACAGTATATTTGAAGTTTTAGTTCAAAAAATTAACTTTTTAGAATCAAGTAGAAATTACAGCTTTTGGTCACTTGTTTTGATTACTTTTCTTGGACGTAAGAATGAAAATATTAGCAACTGAATGGATTAATACAGGAAAAAAAGGAAGTTTAAAATTTTACTTCAAATAACCGCCAAAAATTTACTCAGTGTTATCATTTTTCTTGTCCCCGGGTCTCCCTTTTTACTTTTCAAGTATTCTGAAACATTCTTCAAATTTTGCATGTTTCTATTAAAAACTTTACCGGTGAATCAGTTGCTGGCTCGTGGGTTTTAAAGCTAAAGTTTTACAGCATTATGAGTTTCCAGTATAAGAAATTCACATCCTACTCTACACCTCATGTTACCCAATGAAGTCAGCCAATGCTGCAACTACTGTCATTCACCACATAATATTTCAGTCATATATGCATATACGCATATACGATGGTGGTCCCATAAGATTAGTACCATATAGCCTAAGTTTGTAGTGGACTATACCATGTAGGTTTGTGTAAGTACACTCTGAAGTTCACAGGACGACAAAATGGCCTAATGATGCCTTTCTCAGAATGTATCCTCATCATTAAGTGACACATGGCTGTACTGTGGTTAGTGTCATTCTTTTCACATTAAGTTTAAAGGACAGAATGTTACCCACCTAACTCTTGCTCCTCTTCAGGATCACCATAAATCACGATGGCATCATAAATACAGTTTTCGTTAAATTCAATAGCAAGGTCCTCAAATGCCAACTGCACAAATTATAAACATAACCAGAAAAACGGTCAAGGAAGAGAAGAGAGAAACTTTAAAAGTTTTTCTCTGCACATTGAAAAGTTCTCAGTCACACTCTCATATTCCGTTGATAGAAGTGTAAACAATTGCAGCCTCTTTAGAGGGCAATTTGGCAATGAAGTCCAGGTTTAAATGCACAAACCCTTTGATCCAGAAAGTCCACTTCTGGGAATTACATACATTCACATGTGTGCAAAAACAGTGACAGAGGAACGTACCAGCATTGCTGGTATGAACAGATTGGAAACGCACTAAAAGTCTGTTAGTAGGGAACGGGTTTAAGAAATTGTGGAACATCACACAATGTAATTTTATGTCATTGTTAAAAAGAAGCTCTGTGGGCTCATCTGGAAAGATCCTTGAGATTTTTAAATAGAAAAAGCACTGCCAAAAATGCTCAAAATATCTCTCTGGGGATATTCCAGAAACTTATCAAGTTTGCCTCCAGGAGGTAGGATGGGCATAGGAAGAGAAAAGGCTTACTTTTCATCGTATTCTCTTTTAAGCTGCTGAAACTTTTTAAACCACAAACGAGGATCCCCTTTTAGAGAGGAAAAAAAAGGCAAATAGAAGCTCCCAGTCTTAAGGGCAATTTAACATTCCAGATGAAGCGTGTTCTGCCTTACTAACACAGCTAAGTTCTCCATGAGGTGAATAGCTTCCTTATTTGCTTACCTTTATAACGTGATTCCCTGGAGCATGAATGAACCAGCGACACCTTACATTCCTGGGATACAAGTCAGGATAATTGGCAGAATGAATCGTCCCTTCTTCCACCAATACAGCCGCACTCCTGCAACCTGAAACTATGGAAGTGTTGGGGAAATCCAAGGGGAATGGCTAAAGGCATTCCCTCTTCCTCACCCTCATATCAAAGAAAAACAGCAGGGAATTAAACATCTGAAATACTTCCCAGCTTCCGAGTTCTTCCGTACAGCAGTAAAGGTGAGCTCGAAGCCACTGCCGCTGTTTTCTGTATCAGACACAAATGTAACTACGGCCTCGCTGTTCTCTGTCAGCAGTGGTGAGGGTAATATGTCTCCACAGACCTTACCTGAAAAGCAAAAGAAGTTGAAATAAGATTACTAAAAAGTGGTGGAAACAAACTTATACACGTCTGTTTTCCTAATATTATCTTCCATGAACTCTCCGTTCTCAACACACCAAACTATTTAGTGGTTCCTTTAGTCATTCCACACTCTCTGCTTCAGTGACTGTATATTACATTCACTTTCTCATACTCAACCTCATGTGTCCAAATTCTACTCATCCTTCAGGGCCCAGCTCAGAGTCCAGCTCTCCAAGAACCTTCCCAGACACCCACTGGAAATAGGAGCTACCTTTTCTGAGTCACCGCAGCACATTTCCTATTCTACATCACTACCTACTCTGTGGTACACCTTTAGTAACCTCACCAAATGGCTCATTAGAGCAGAGACTGCTTTGACTCTATATATGTCCAGTACTTGGTATGGTATCTGGTTTCTGGTTGATTTTTAACAAATGATTGGCATAAAAAATGATTACTAGATAAATAGCAGGCCTGAAGCATGAAATCGTTTAGTCAATAAATATTATAACCCTTAGCACGATACCCTGTCTATAGCATCCTATCAAATATTTGTGAAGAGATATTTGTCCTAACCACCTGCCTCATGGAGACCTGCAGACCAAGACCTATACCAGCTCTACAGACTATTATGCTTAACACATAATATTTCAATTAAAGTAGATATATCAGTTATGCTTATATAGCTTATGAGGTACTCAACAAAATAAAGGGCATGGAATAATCTATTGTCATAAGAAAAAAGAACATTACAAAACAATGTAAAGTTCTGTGTGTTCCTCTAATATATATAAATGAATATACAACAAAATGTTAACAGCATTTATCTCTAGGCGGTAGGATTAGGAATGGTTCATTTTCTTCCATTTGTTCATTTATCTTTACCAAATTTGGCAAACACGCACCCGCTTTTGTGATAAAAATGAAAAAAGAGACATTGCCTTGAAAGGAAGTTTCTGACAACTGAGATCAAGTTCACTCAATCCTGTTATTAAACTAGAGAAAGCTCAGTCCATATGCTGGTCATTGGTTTCACTCTTACCACACACACTCCCACCCCTGCAAGAAGGGCACAGTTTGTAAGATAAAATAATCATCCTGTGTGCAGAAATCTAATTTCAGATCTTTCAGCAGCTCTGGGGTCAATACTCTGAAATGACAGATGAAAATAAATGTAATGCACTTACTAATAAGCATTCCATTGCTTGATTGTAAAGATACATAGTCATGGTCACATCCAACTTGATTTTCTATGTCTAAGCTTGTGAATTTTATCAGGATAATTTTATCTTCTGGTACCATTATTTTCCAGATACATAAGCTAGATAGAGGAAGGTGGGGAAAGTATAATAAATGGCAGAGTCGAGCGTGACAAATAAGGTCTAATATCTGGGCTTTAGCTCATAACTCACCAATAATAAACTTTCTACAGGATATTAGAAAATGAAAGGCAATGGAAATTCTCTATGTGAGAATAATTTGTTTATGTTCAAATAGCTGGCATTTATTCAACAAATAGAGGAGTATTAATTAGAGAATGGCCAGAGAACACCTTCTAAATTTCATTTAGTTATAAAATGCTAGAATTTTGATCTATAAATTGAAGAAAACTTAGAACAGAGAGATGAATCTTAGTTATTAGTGAAAACTGAAAATTCATAATATTCATCCAGAAGTTGAATTATGGATTATGGATTATAGATTGACCATACAGCATATGTTAACCCTAACCAGCCACATCCTCCAAGGTCAGCCTAAGTCATAGTCCCTGGGGTTGCAATGTCATCTCTCTAACGCCCAGGAAGATCAGCTGTGACCTCTTACTAACATCTTTAGAAACATGTCTAAACATTTTGAAAGTATTCTTACATAATTTAACACATAGTCCTTTATCTTTATTTTCCTCCATGAATTCATATTATTACTCAAGAAAAGAAATCCTAGTGGGCCATAAATCCCTAGCATCTTCCATGTCTCACATTCATCCGAGTGCAGAGCAATCTTATTTGGAATCTAACATGTGAGAATGACCTTCTTTCTAAGACTCAGTAGTCTTTATCAACAACCTCAGACCTGTTAACAGCCCCACTGCCCTCTAAGTAATAAATGTTCAGGACTGTAGGAATTATCCAGCTCTTTCATATCCAGTTTCCAAAAACCAAACGCAACAATTCTTCTTACCAAACATCACCTTAACCAGAAACTCCTTGCTTTTACTCTTTTCTATTCAAGTCCATCATCCTGAACATAGATGTAAAAATAGGCTGCCTAAAATATTGTTAACATCACTTTCTAAGCACTTCAATTTAAATAGCAATACGCTGCCTAAAATATTATAAAGCTCACCTTTTTTAAGCACTTCAATTGAAAAAGCACTCCACATTCATCATCCTTCTGGAGACTCATCACATCTCTCTGAAATGGACAGGAGAGAAATTACTCGCCTTTCTCCAAATGGGAAAACTGGCGTTGATATTAAAGACTCATCACATCTCATATAATAGGAAATAGGGTTTAGGCTTTATGAATTCCAAGGCCAGTATTTTCTCCTGTTTTCATCAAGTTATTTTCTGCCTCAAAATCTCTAACTCAGAGATGGAAAATAGATTTCAAATCATATGCCAACCTTGATTTATTGGTAGCAATCACTGCATTAAAAAGGATTCTGAGGTCTAGTCAAGCTAAGCAAATGAGGACTACCAAAATTAATCATTGATTTATTCATTCAAATAGCCATTGAGCATTTACGATATGCCAGGCACTGTTCTATGATCCAAGAAACACAATGTCTCCCATGGGCCTGGAAGGAAGGAGGTCACCTGAGTGCCATGTATCTGCCATTTCTGAGAGTCTAGCTACCATCAGCCAGAATAAAGATAGGCTCGGAGGGACTGTATAACTGCCTGCTCCTTCTCTACGCTATCTCTTTCTCTCTTAGCATTAGCTAATTAACTCCATTTGGAATTTACAAGACCCTTCCACCATTCAAGGCTGCTTAGCATGCTGGAGAGTCACTAAGTATGCGAACTGGCTCCATACTTTATTAACATATCTAAAACACATGTCTTTTCACGTTTGAACACTCTAAAATCATAAGGATCTTACAACGGAGTGTTAGAATTGTTAGACATGGACTGAAAGAATTCTTTCAGAAGGGACTTGTATTTGCCTGGGGGCACTCTCAACTGCATACTGCTTAATTTTCTGCTTGAAGAGTTTGGGACTACACTGGTGGTGGGAATTTTAGACTGTAGACCTACACGATTCAATTTTTCAGGGAGGATTTTTATCCCTCCCTACATCCAGTGCCAAAGTTGAGGCACGTAACTTCCCACGTGGGTGGGCTTAGGCATTGCTTAGCCTTACACTGAAGGTACAGCCTTTGGTGTCCCAGCTTTATATGGAGATCTCCCAATCTTGGGTATTTTGTTTTCTTTATTGGTGGTACATAAAATAATGATGGATTTTACAACCCATTTCTTCTAGACTTGTTGAAATATCATACATACAAATTCATACTAATATTGAGTTGAAATGTTGCCAAAAGTCTTATTCTCTCTAGTTGACTTATTACTTTAGCCTCTACAAGCTATTTAATATCTTCTTAACTATTTAATCTCAACTTCATGCCCTAAACTTGAAGCAATTGAAAACTTTTAATTACTAGAACAGCATCTAGTGTAAATTCCTTCAACTGTCCTATAGATTACCTTAACATTTTTGGTTGCTTTCCAGAAAAGAAATTATTCTTCCTTCCTTCCAAAGCTAAACCACCGTTATTTGTTGTGTTCTCATCAAACTTCCTTCACAGATATGTCTTTTTTTTGACTTATCACTCTTACTCTCTCTTCTGCCCATAAGGACAGTTACGCCCACCCTTCTACACAACAACAAAAACAAAGCCCTGCTTCTCTTGACCCTACTACCCTATTACCCTACTAGCCCTATTACCCTAAAGCCACGGTCTCATCATCTTCTTTCTCTTCACTGCTTAACTGTCTTCCTTGTGTCAAACAATGGCAGCTCCATCCTTCCCATAGGTCAGAAAGTCTCAAGTCAATCATAAGTCTCCCTCTCTTAAAACCTAAATTTTCAACTCATTAGTAAATCCTTTGGTTCTACCCCTTCTCACCACCTCTACTGTTACAAATCTGGTCAAAGGCATCATGCTTTCCTGGGTTATTGCAGTAGCTGGTCTCAGCTCTTGGTCTTGTCTGTCTACAGTCTATTTTAAACACAACAGGCAAAATGATCCTTTTAAAGTATGTTAGATCATGTTCCTCTTCTGCTCAAAGTTCTCCAGTGACTCCATATTCTACTCACAATAAAATCCAAAGTCCTTCTTATGTCCTTTAAGTTGGGCCACTACTAATCATGACCACTTCCCTTCTCTCTCACTTAGCTCTAGCTCTCTGATCTTGCTGTTCCTCAAATATACTGAGTTTCCCTGCCTTACACATGCTATTCCTTCTGCCAGATTGTCCCTTCCCAAGATGACCATCTGCTTCCCTCCCTCACATTATGCAAGTCTTTTTCAAATACCATTTTTATAGCGTGGTCTTCCCTGACCATCTTCTCTAATATTGCACAACCCAGCACTCTCTATCCCTCTTTCTTATTTTTCTGCATAGAACTTACCACTTTCTACTATTATATGTGACATTACTTATATTATCGCCACTCTCCACCTTCCAACTTGCCCCACAAAGGAAAGCATTTTTGTCTGTTTCATCCATTGCTATATTACAAGCACTTAAAATAGTGTCTGACACATCTTAAGGCCTCAATGAATTTTTTTGGATTATTTGGAGAAGAAGAGATACCAAATCTTCAACAATCACTTAACCATTATGAATATAACGTTCAATCCTACAATTCTACTGCATCAGCTCCCAAATTTTGAATTGCCATACTGTTGGCATTTTATCTGAACTCATTTTGACACTTGAAATATCTGATACTACTAACAGCCCCTTTGTCTTGAAAGTCTTTCTTGCTGAGCTCTCTTCAATACTTCATTGTCTAAGCTGAATCACAGGTTCTCTGTGTTTGAGGATAAATTGCCTGTCATCTGCATGTCCCTTACCTGACATTTAAATGCTTTCTAGAATCTCACCCATAGCCATCCATGCTCTGCTCAAATACTCACTTATAAAGGAAATTCACTATCTTTTGAGGAAGGGCATTAAGTCTCAGAAATCTCTCAAACTAGAAACTACTTTACATTGGATTGTAATCTGCCTCCTCCTAACATCTACCCTCTGTTCCTTGTTCTCAACTCTGCCATTAATTCTGCTTCTCTAGTCGCCTTTCAGATAAATCAAGACAGTTCCTTTCTCTTCTCAAGTCTTTTCTGGACTGAAAATATTCCTAGGTCTTTCCACTATATCTCCCAAGACACTGTTTTGAATTTCTTTCCATCTTGGTCATTATCCTTCAAGTAATTTCCAGGTTACCAACGTCCCTTTCTAAAGACTGTATGTACCTAGTGACCTCTTTCCTATTCACTCTGCCCATGACTCTAATAACACAGGACTTTCTCTCTTGTTCTGGATGCTATACTTCTCGAAGTTTAAGCAAAGATGACAAGGGCTTTATTGGTATTATATTATTACCAGGTTAACTCACAGAAAGTCAACTTAGACTCTTAAGCCTTTTAAATGTGGGCTGCAATTAAACCACATCATTTCCATCCTATACTCCTAACAAATATTTACATTCATTTTATATTAGTTTTGTAAATTACAACCCTTCCACCATTTTAGCTTCCAGTTGCCTATGGTATAAAGTCTGAGCTTCTTCACATGGAATTCAAGGTCCTCTACAACTAAGGCCTTACATTCCTTTTTATGTTCATGGTCCACGGCTACCCCAGTTCTTATTTACATTAACATTGCTCTCCAGCTGCACTGGGATAGACATTATCCAAACACCCCTGATAATCTCCACTTCCCTGACATTGCTTACGCACAATTCCCTCTGCCTGGAATGATCTGTAAAAATCTCTTAGATAGTACAGCTACAAAAGCCTTAAGCTAAAAATCATAACTAGCCTTCAATGCCTAGTTTCAACACCACCCCCTTCACTAAATCATTCCTACTCCCTACCCCTCCCAACCACAGTACGCACCACCTCACAAACACTGCAATGGGAATTGGTCTCTCCATTTTCTGTAGTACCAACACACCTGGGTAGTGTGGATTATAAAGCTTATTTCTTCTTGTTTTATAGTATAGTTATTTTTGTCCTGCTCTCTCCTCCTATAAACTCATTATGATCATAAACTCACAGAGCAGTCATCTGCCTTTGAATACCTTTCAATGTCCAATATAATTTTAAAAATGAATGTAGAACACTTAATGAAATGAAATACTTGCAAAAACTAATTTCTAAAGTTTAACGATATCTTTAGCCATATAGAGAATGGGGTATGTAGACAAATGTCTAAAGATGCTGAGGCTTATAGATCATGAACTATTTTCCATCTTCCAGGCAACCCTAAAGAAAATATTACCATTATTATGAAAATAAGTGGGACAGGATTAACCACTAAATTCCCATAACAATCTCACTATCAGATGCTGTTAATGTTAGGTATTTGAACACGTCAATTCAGGTAAGCTCTAGCGGTGTTGATGTGTTGGTGGTTTGTATTAAGGGGTATCAGAAATACCAATTAGCAAATATTTGCCAACCAAAATATATCAGCTGAAATATATAGACTTTTATATTAGTCAAATAAAGTAATTGAGATACTAGATAAAATTGCCAAAACATAGCCCATTAAATGGTCTGATTTAGTGCGGGGCGGATCCCAGGAATCATTCCTACCTAGGATACATACCAATTATGAGAATAGTTGCCTGCTTTAGAATGGGGGCAATGAATCTTCCCACTTTCTCCAAACAGCACTGTTCCCTGAGATCTACAATCTTCCAAAACATAGAAAAAAAGTTGATTATTTATGTCAGCTATGGAAAACATTTCAAGACATACAGTACAGAGTCAGCTCGATGCCATACAATTTATATTATGTAATTTATATTTATGGGAATGGATATATTTTTAGGTGTTCTGACCTAGACATTGTATTTGCAGACTTCATTAGGAAAATTTCTAAATCATGATGTTCTTTTCTTTCTCTCTTTCTTTTTTTCCTGAGGAAGTTTAGCCAACCCTGAGCTAACATCTGTGCCAATCTTCCTCCACTTTATATGTGGGCTGCTGCCACAGCATGGCTGATGAGTGGTGGAGGTCCACGCTCGGGATCTGAACCCATGAACCTGGGCTGCCAACCTTAACCACTATCTTTTTTTTTTTTTAATATATAGTTTTATTAATTAACCATCTGACATACTTTTACAATATTTTTTCTCCTACTTTTTTTTTATTGAGGTATAATTGACATATAACATTATATTTGTTTCAGGTGTACAACATAATGATTCAATATTTGTATATATTGCAAAAGGATCACCACACTAAGTCTAGTTAACATCCATCACCATACATAATTACAATTTTTTTCCTTGTGATGAAGACTTTTAAGATCTACTCTCTTAGCAACTTTCAAATATGCAATACAGTATTATTAACTATAGTTACCTTGCTATACATTACATTCCCATGACTTACTTATTTTATAACTGGAAGTTTGTACCTTTGGACCCCCTTCACTCATTTTGCCCTCCCCTCAACACTACCTCTGGCAACCACCAATCTGTTCTCTATCTATGAGCTTGATTTGTTGTTGCTGTTTTTAATTCCATATATAAGTGAGATCTTACACTATTTGTCTTTCTCTGACTTATTTCATTCAGCATAATGCCCTCAACGTCCATCCATGTTGTTGCAATGGCAAGATTTCATTTTTTTTTAATGGCTGAATGGAATTCATAATGTTCTTTCCTTTATGTGAGTTCTTCCAGTTGAATATTTATCCAATCTTCTCAAACCATGAATCATGAAGCTGTCAAATTTTTAGTATGGAACTAATATGGTGTTTTCCCATCTCTAAGTAGGATGTCCTGAGTTATAATAAAACACTTTTGTATAAAGATACTAAAGTAAACGTACACAAATTTTAGCAATGACATGGCAAGTCTCTAACATTCATTCAGAAATTCCAGATGCCAATGTCACACTTTAATTGTAGGAAGTTGGAATAAATAGGTAACTAGGGGATGAGAAACTTAGAAAGATGACCTTAAATGTATGTTATTTAAATAAATTACTTGTCACATTCTGATACTCATTTGACTGTGGAATTAAAGATTATTGCCTGATTTCATTGTCCTTTTAGAATATTATCATTAACCTTTTGTCCATGACTTGTTAACCTTTTTAACCTTCTCTTCTAGGTGATGAAAATTGAATAGAACGGCCACCAGGAGAGAATTTACCCTGCTGTAATGGCAATGAACAGAACACTTTTACTCTGAAGACCAAACGAAAGTGAGCTGAGAGCCTGCTCTAGTCTGAGATAACGCTGGTGTTCAGCTGGACCAACAGCAGCAGGGCTTCTCAAATCATCAGCTAGGTGGCTGATCTTGGACCACAATGAAGGGGGGATGGAGAGAACGCCGTGTTCTGTGCTCTAGCTCCCAGTCTTTAAAAAATTTGGTTCTTTTACTAAATTATTTATTCATGTAACTTGTGTATCCTTATGCCTCTTTATTCTGCAGAGGCTGCCCCCTGTGCCCTTTTCTTATGAAGATGCTGCCCCTTGGCACAGCAAACCTTCTGGTCCCTCAGGACTGAGCCCCTGCGACCTCTCCCTGGTGCTCTTACAGCTCTCTGGCTTATCTGCACTTCACCTTTCCTCACAACTGTCCATTTGCTTCTCTGTCTCCCTGAGTAATTGGAAAGTTCCTCGAGGGCAAGTTTGGCATCTCTAGACTCATACTTGTCCAATCTAGATTTTAGTGCCACAAAACGAAAATAACTCTCCAAAGCCCCCCTTATTTTCCCACTGTCACCAAGTAAAATTATCCAGGGTGAATGGAAAAGGCAGAAGAGGAATGATTTATTCTTAGCGCTCTTAAGTAGTTTACAGGAAAAAAAATATGTCAACTGGATAAATGAAGAAAGAATCCTGTGATGAGTCTATTCTCAAAGGCTACTTTCAAATCTCATAAATACAAAAAAAAATCTCAGAAAATCTACATGAACATAAACTTAAAGATGCAGTTGATGTTCAAATTAATAAATTCAAGATAAATTGACAGATATCAGTGCTCGTGAATTCTGAGATAGAAGTTTATATACATTGGTTTAGGAATTAGACACCAGCCATATTCTTACTTTGTTTTAAAGCTTAGTTCTGATTATATCTGTAACATATCAGAGAAACTCCTCTTTAAATAAGTATGATCGAGTTTTGACTTGGAATGAAATGAGGAAGAATTCACAGAAATTACACCTACTGTGAACATGTTCTGAGTGATGAAATCTGTCAACTCAAACACCTTGGAGAAAATGCCAGGCGATGCTCGTCTATGGTTATTTCTTAAAGGAGCGCAATTGCTAGCACAAGCTCCCCAGGAAGTTATCCCAACAAGGACCCAGATTCCATTGTCTCTTCTACAAACAAGTGGACTGCCAGAGTCCCACTTTTATAGCAGAGAAAGGGAGAAAATTTGTGAATATTCATAAGTTAAAAATATTTTAGCAGGTCCACAAATATCAGCATTCATCTCAAAGAGAGAAGAAAGAGCCCACTAGTCATTGTCCATCAACATTCTTTCTGTCCATCTTTTTGTTTCTTCACCATTAGTTTCAAGGTGCAGTCTTTTTACCCAGATGTAACTTTCTTCCACTATTGCTTGCAATCTTGTCAAGCTAACACTTAATTTCTCTCTCCCTCCTACTTTTTTGGGAACAACCATATAGATTCCAAAATCAGTGAAAGGAGAAGGGGAAATTTACAGATATATGCTTCCACTATAGCTGGTCACCCAGAATTGCTGGGAAAGACTGGGTCATATCCCAAGCCTACAGCATCAGTGAATAGAGTCCCCAAAGTCAATCAATGGCTCAAGGCTCAAGAATACCTGGTGTGGGAGCAATAGCCTGTGTGCCCTTTAACAGTCATCTGTCCTTGGGGCCCCTTGTCTAGGCTACGCACCAGCACTTACGACGATAAGAGTCCCGGACTTGGCCAACACAGCTGTTTATCATGGGATAGTTAGCACAAAGACCGTCATGGTCTGAGGGAACATGGAGGCACTCCAAGGGGAACTCTGCTTCTTGGAATGCAGGTCATACAAGGACAATCCCCCTTGGCAAGCAAGCAGCCAGTTCCTCTGCCTACTTAAGCAAGCTTCTCTCAGGGGGCAGTAGTGGGTGCACACTTCCATCCAGCAGGCCACCACCACACATTCCCTCTAAGCAACTCTCAGTAAACCTATATGTCTTGTTTGCCATCTCCAGGTCTTTTTTTTTGATCTCTCTGCAACCTATCCTGCACTGTGCACTCAACCGGGCATGCGGCCAAACACCTGGGAAGCCTAATTTTGTCCCAGAAGCTATATGTAAAGGACTGTTGGCTCTCACACTAGAGGATAAGGAACCCACAATTTCAGGATCCTTTCTTTAATTATCTTTCCAAATATGCTGCTTTGAGAACATGTGTCAATTTTGTGTTGGATTAAACCCTCCTCAAAAGGCATAAAAGTGTTTGAGGGCTTCATCCAAAAAAGGATCGCTTGAAAAGGATGCAGACAAGCCAAAGCACCCTTGTCCTACTTGTGTTTCAATTTAGAAAGTGGTATAGGTGTAAATTTCTCTCTCCTCCCTCCCAAACTCCTCCTGCACCTTGTCCTGACACCCCCTAGAAGAAAAATCATAAATTTTTCCAACAGATAATTTCAGGGAGTTTCCCATAGCAGTTTCAAGTTGCTTGGCTTTCCAAGTAAATTATCTTCTCTACCTAAAACTTAAAATGCACGTCTTTCGCAAATTGGTCTCCCTTTCCTCTCTATATCTTCTAAAGGTTAGTCCTCTTTGTGATGTTGTTGTGTTAGACTTGGGAGGCCATTGTCATTCACAATATCTTTTACCCAACAGTTAGTATAGCTATGCAATCTTTGGTCAAACTTTGTGTAAGCACTGCATTCTGCACTAAAGACTGAAAAAAAAAAATAGCTCACAATGTTTAACAAAAGGTGAAATAAAAAATAACTCACAGCTGGACCTAATTAGCTTGCCAAAGTTGTCACCTTGCTTGATTGAATTGGGTTGGAAATGTTGAAATTTTCCTTGCCTCCTCTCCCCACAAAAAATGAGGTGTCAAAAAAAAGAATTCTCTCAGCCAGGTCAAGTGAACTTTTTCAGTAGAAGCCAGGTGGACAGATGCAGGAAATGGGAATTTTGAAGTAACTCCCCAAAAGCAACTCTTAGGGAAAGGCAGAATCCACCATCACCCACGTGTTACTGAGTAACAGCTGATTTATGCTTTTTACCTGGCAGGCATGCTTTTCCCCATCAAGGAAACTGGCACACAGCGTGGTCCTTCCTACCGGAGGAAGGTTCATATCCTTGAGCACAGCATTACACGTTCTGTCATCCAGGATGGGAAGTTGCACTTCTTGTAGGACATTTGAATATTCTTTTGCTGTGGAGAAAGGACAGTAAGTGAGTCAACAGCTGTCCTTATTGAAACAAATCAATAAGAGACCAACAAGTTTAAAAACTATTTCAAACAGATATTTAACCAAAATGTAGAAGTCCTTATTTTTTTAGGTGTGAATTATATTCTTCCCCCAAATCACATATGAGATGAGGACACTTTTTAAAAATTCCGCAGATTTTTAACATAGGCAATGGTGATTTCTCTGAATATATCCTTGAATATTTCCTTAAGAGGAAAACTTTAGTCAACAAAGCAATATTTTGTAAAATTTCTTTACTTTAAAAAAAATTAAAGTATTAATGATAAAGAAGTTTAACTATGATTACTATTTCCTGACTTCCCTTCTGCTGTATTCTTCTTCATCTGTTATAGTCATCTCCAGTTCTTTTATCTGAGATGCCTAACCAAAAAGGCAGCAGGAGGTGTTTTATGTAAAACATTAAGTATAGACTTTTCTATGTCGAAAACAACCAGAAATCTTCACTGAGTCAGAACTCAGGGGTTAAAAAAAAAAAAGCCCAGGATAAATGTATTACTCATAGCCAAAAATAATTCCTGCTTCCACTGGGCATACAAAGGGGCCTGGAAGAAATATTATTATATTCCTTTGATGCCTCTTACTCTCTGAAATCCTGCCCCATCCACTGGCCATGCAAAGAATCCCTTCTTCAAATTGGTCATCTCTGTGGGGAATACAGATCGGCTGAACAGCAATGCCTGAAAAAACAACAATAACAAAAAATCACAAGGTTCACAGACAAGTGATGCTAAAAATATTTGGAAAGTGATGTCTGCTTGATTTCATGGCTTCTACACTTTCTTCCTAAATGAAATATTGACATATATTTTCAAAGCTCTCCTCTCTCATAAAAAACTATTTCATATTTATAGAAATTTGAAAAAAAAATGCAAGAAAAGTAAAATAAGGAAAAAAATAACCCATTGTTTCACATACCACAATGACTCCCACAAACTACTAACATTTTAGGGTGTGCCCTTGCACTTAAGGGCCAGTTTTTCACTCAGTAATAATTGATCACTACTATAGAGCAAGCACTCTTCTAGATCTCAGAGAAAAAAAAAATCCCTGCCCTGGCAGAACTTACACTTGTGTTTGCGGGGAGAGGGAACACAAACAAGAAAAATATAATTTAGTTGTTAGGTAATATGTGGTCTGGAAAAATCAGAGCAGGGTAAAGAAGACGAGAAGTCTGGGGATTAGGCAGGATGCATAGGAGATGTAATTTTAAATATGGTAGACATGGTAAGTCTCACTGAGCAGATGACATTTGAGCAAAGCCTTGAAGAAGCTGAGGAAAGGAACCGTGCAGTTATCTGAGTGGAAAGCCTTTGAAGAAGAAGAAACAGAACAGAAAGTCCCATCAGTGGAATCATGTCACGCATATCTGAGGAACAGTGGGGAGGCCAAGACGGCTGGAGCAAGTTAAACAAAAGAAGTTTAGTAACAAATGAACATAAAAGAGGTTAAACATATGGCTAGGAGGAGGGAGAAGTCAGTTGATAAGAATATTGATTTCCATCTGAGAGTAGTGGAAAACCACTGAAGTGTTTTGACCAGAGTGACAGAATCTGGCTTACATCTCAAAAAGTATTATTCTAGCTGCTGGGTTAAAAATTAACATTAGGGATGCAAAAGAGGAAGGTGGAGACAATTAAAGAGACCATTAAAATTAACTCAGGCAAGAAATGATGGTAGCCTGTAACGCGATGGTAAGAGTAGAGAGAGTGAGGCAGAAGCAATAGGATTTTTTGGATGGATTAGATGTATAGTGAGAGAGAAGAAGAGTGAAGAACGAGTGCAAAGTTTTTAGCTTAAACAACTGGAAGGGTAGAATGGTCATTAATCAAGATGGAAGGCTACGGGTAGGATGTCACGCATAATCAGGATTTTGCTTTAAACATGGTGAGATGCCTATTAGCTATCCACGTAGATGATCATTAGGCAGTTGGCTATATGACCCCTATTTATCACAGCAGTATATACAATACAAAGAAACCTGGGCTAGATACATAACATTTGGGGAAATCTTCAAGGAAATGATGTTTAAAGCCTTGATCCTGGATGAGGATCACTAAGGGAGTGAGTTCCAAGAGAGAAGAGGTCCAAGTGCTGAGACCTGGGACACTGGAATGATAAGAAGTCACAAAGAAGAGAAGGAACCATCATAGAAGACTAAGAAAGGGGGTAAAAGGTATAGGAGGGAAACCAAGGGACTCCTGGAACTCAAGTGAAGAAAATGTTTCCAGGACAATATGCACAGCTCTGTCAAAACTCCCATGAAGTAAGCTGAGGATTGAGAATTCACCTTTGAATTCAGCAACATGGAGGTCATAGCTGACTGTGACAAAAGCATATCTAGTGGGGGTGGGGGAGAGTAAAAGTCTAATAGACTCAGATATCCAACAAATATCTCAAACCTAATACATGTAATTATGAGAACTAAGCAGAGGAAACGGACATACCTAACATAGAGGGATAGTCAGAGTTTTTCTATGAAGGGGAGCAGAAAAAAAAATCAATAGTTTCCTTTGATATACAAATCTAGTTTGAGTTATTCTCTCTCAGTATTTTGATGATCTTGTTCCACTGTCTTTTGACTTTCATGACTGCTGTTGAAAAATTAGCTATCACTCTAATTATCATTCCTTTTTCAGTAATATAGTTTTTTCCTCTAGATGTTTTTTCCCCCAGAGGAAGATTAGCCCTGAGCTAAGATCTGTTGCCAATCTTCCTCATTTTTTTTTTAATTTTTTTTTTTTTGAGGAAGATTAGCCCTGAGCTAACTGCTGCCAATCCTCCTCTTTTTGCTGAGGAAGACTGGCCCTGAGCTAACATCCATGCCCATCTTCCTCTTCTTTATATGTGGGACGCCTACCACAGCATGGCATGCCAAGCAGTGCCATGTCCGCACCCGGGATCTGAACCGGCGAACCCAGGGCTGCTGAAGTGGAACCTGCACACTCAACCGCTGCGCCACTGGGCTGGCCCCTTCCTCATTTTTTTTCTTGAGGAAGATTAGCCCTAACATCTCTGCCAATCTTCTTCTACTTTACATGTGGGTCACCACGACAGCATGACTGATGAGTAGTTTAGGTCTGGGTCTTGGATCTGACCCTGCGAACCCAGGCCACCAAAGCAGAACGTGCCAAACTTAACCACTACGCCACAGGGCCGGTCCCTCCTCTAGATGCTTTTGAGATCCTCTTTTTGTTTTTAGCATGCTACCATTTCAGCACAACATATGTAGATGTAAAATTATTTTTAGGGGCTGGCCCAGTGGTACAGCAGTTAAGTGCACACGTTCCGCTTTGGCAGCCCGGAGTTCCCTGGTTTGGATCCTGGATGCAGACATGGCACTGCTCATCAAGCCATGCTGTGGCAGGTGTCCCACATAGAAAGTAGAGGAAGATGGGCACGGATGTTAGCTCAGGGCTAGTCTTCCTCAGCAAAAATAGGAGGATTGGCAGAGCTTAGCTCAGGGCTGATCCTCCTCCTCAAAAAAAAATTATTTTTAATATCATAGTGTGAAATACTGGGCTTCTTAAATCTGAAGATTTGTGTTTCACCAGTTATGATTAACCCTCAGCCACTTTCTCTTAAATTCTAGCCTCTCTATCTATATTCTTTCTAAAGCTCAAACTGGATATTTACTCTTTTAGTCTATCCCTGTCTCTTACTCTGTGTCTCTTGTAGATAATTATTTCGGATCCTCTAGTGCCCTATATCTGATCTAATCTGCTATCTAATTCATCTACTATCTAATTCCAATTATATGTTCATGGCTTTGTGTTTTATTGACTCCTTTTCACATCTTCCTCTTCAGTTAATAGTTTCTTCAGTCATTTTTGATAGACTTTTACTTACTTAAACTTAAGTAAAACATACTTTATATTATGTATCTCATCTTAACACCTGTAATCTTAGAAGATCTGGTTCTGGTTGTTGTTAATTTTTGACTCTCTCTCTTTGGTGGCAACTTTCACTGCATAATTTCGATGTAAATGTGTGCTCATATTAATTAACACTTTATAGGAATACCTTGAAGCTGTGAGTCAAGGTTCATCTCTTCAGAGAGGATTTACTTTTGCTTCTGCCAGCAGCCCCAATTACCCACCTGGAAACACTTTCAAGTCTTGGCTTGGAGTCTGTGGTCACAGGTAACGGGAATTCCAGCACCAAAGCTGAATGAGGGCTTGCCCGTGATCACGGATTCTCCTGAGAACCCTCCCTCCAGAGCCGAGGTTCAAGTAGGCAAGTTTCCTTATTCCTTCACTTTGGTGGCGTATTTCCCTCACTCTTTTCCTCTGTCTTTCAAAGCATCACCTTTCAGGAAGTCTCAGGTTACAGGGAGCCTCCAATCAGACTCTCCCATCCCCCATCCCTACTCCCACGCAGGCTCCTCACATGGGCACTTAAAGTTCTAGGTTCCCAAAGATAGTTAGACGCCTCAAGGGCAGTCCCTTTCTTCAGTGTCTGGCTAACGCCTTTGGATTTGCCTTCTTTCATTGTTTTTAGCCACTGAACACTTCCCTTTCCTGCATTTTTAAAAAAGCAAGTTTTTAATATTTTATCCAGAATGTTTAGATTACCTGTGCTGAATATGAGATATCTAGTCCAAAATAATGACAGAAAGGAGAAGTCTCTGAGAACATTTTTAAATGTCCCAAACTCTTTGGCTAGAGTCGAGCATAGGTAGATGGTCTAGAATATAGCCTAGCCAAGACGCTGGAGTAATTATAATGCTGACTCATTTAGCATACATAATTTGCAGCTGGGACTTCTAGCCTGTACAGTGCATTTTATATGTTATAGATTAAATAAAATTATTTTTAAAATAAACAAAACTTCGAAATTCTAATATTACTATATACACACAGAATTTAAAGTGAACTGGTACAGAACTGATAAACACAGTTTTCTCCATTACATTTTTTGAATTCTCACTCTCCCTACTTACCAAACTTGACTTTGTGTTTTAAAAACAGCAGTGCAATATCAGAACTCCTATAGCCAAGCCTGCTGTATTTAGGATGGATAATTTTTGAGACAGGAATATTCTGCTCCTGCTCATCCTCTTGTCGGAGGTTGTACTCTCCAGCAGTCACAGTCAGACTCCTAATTTGCTTCCTAAAACCAAAGAAAAATGTTCCAATAAGTAACTGTGTCCCCCAGGAGAGACTCTTCGTTTCATGTAACTAAATGAAAAGTGATTAATGTACCTTTAAGGATTTCTAAGTCTTAAAAGAAGATATACCTTTATTACTGATTACTATCAATTGTCATAATTCCCTGCAAATTATAGGGATCATAAAAGTCATGGCTTTCAGTCAACGAGTGTTTAAATTTTGTGAACTCTTTCAGGTACCATCAACTGTCTTTCTGTGTAAAGCATTTAAGCGTGGCTTCCTTTTCTTCTTTTATTCATAGGCCAATCTAAATATCCTCTACCATTTTTAAGATTTTTAATAAAAGTTGTCCCTGGAATTGTCCTTCTTTTCCTCCTCTTAGTACCCTTTTTAAATCTAGCCAAGTGTTTGTTATTTCCACAGTATATTTTCCCTCTTAATGAAACTCAGATTATTAAACTTTGGAGCACCCATGTAACGTTTGATGTTAATACTTTATTAGAATAAGTAATTATTCTCCCCCACCACTAACTCCACAAAGTATAGATGATGTGTGGGGTCTCTGATTAGTAAGGCAGGAAGCACGGGAAATCCTGGGCCAGACACAAGTTTCTAGGGATCAAGAACGTCAGTGGGTGAGTAGACCAGATGTCAAAATTAAAAGGACTAGGATTTAATCTTACATAGTATCTCCTAGCCCTGTCACTATGAGTCAAAGTTTGACAAGCAACGAAAATCCACAACTTACTCATAGAGGCTAACCAGGCAGTGGGCTGCTGTAACCACCATCTCTTGCAACCATCTCTTCTTGGATCAAGCTTCCTCCACAGAAGTGGCGCTCACCTAATTTTAGGGAGACCTGCCACAAAAGAAAGTTACAAACACATCTAATATACATCTCCCCATAGATGTCATCTCCTTCAGAAACAATTGAAATCAACTCTTCAAATATGGTATAACATTCTTAAAATACTGATATAAATTGGTTAGTAAGATATTTCCTATGAAGTAAACTTTTTCTCAGAAAGGTCAAGTGGGGTCATGAGAAAAAATTACACGTTAACTTGGAGTTGAGATATTTGAAACAAAGGAAAAAATTCACCATTTTCTTAGTAAGACGACAATGCCCTCGTTATACTGACCTGCCATGGATGTCGACCAACTGTTGAATTCCTCCTGTGAAAGGTTCTAGAGAAGAACCCAGATGCCAAGTCAGTTTCTGAACTGCTCAAATGGATGGCACGAACTCCACACTTCAGCCCTGCATGGGAGAGCACATGTGTGCGCACACAGACACTTTACGTAAGGGTTCACTTTATCAAGAGGCCAAGTTCAGATTTTCCCGGCCTGGCACAGATGTTCTGATATCCCTCAGCTGCAGGCTATCCCGTTTCTTTTCTCAAGTTCTTACTGAGTAGATCACCACTCCCCAGCCCCTTTGCAGCCTGCGCTGCCTTAATTACAAAAGACCCGGGGCAGGATGAGCCAGCCCTCCCTCTAGCGACGGACTCCGGGCTTACTCTGGGAGGATGCACATTACATAATTTAGGTTGTATTAAAGATGCTGCAGAACAATACCTACTACTCCGAAAGAGAGATACTTGGCTCTAAGTTACTTCTACTTGCTTATTTTTCCTTGGAGGAGGTTCCTTAGCATAAGCACAGTTAGCAGATGTGCCTAAAACCTGAACTCTGGAATCTAAAGAATTTCATATAGAAAATCGCAGGCCCTCCTTTGGGCACGCCTGGGCCTGTGCTATGGCCCCCCTCACCCGTCCTTCTTCCCGTCCAGAGAGGAATGAAGTGCTCAGCTCCAGCCTGCAGCCTGGGCGCCCAGGGGCCGGGCTCACTGAGGCTTTGCGGGAGGCCGAGGGCAAGCCACAGCAGCAAGCGGGCCCCCGGCCAGCGCCCCCATGGCGGCCGCGCGCGGGGACTCGTCCGTCCCCCTCGGTTGCAGGCTCGGAAACCGGGCGAGGTGGGCGGGCTCCACGCCGCAGGTTCCCGCGCTCCCGGCAGCACCGCGGCCGCGCTCTTCGTTCCCGCCCGCCGCCCTGCTCGCAGCTTTCCCTCCTCAGCATCATCCCGAGCCGCTGCAGCAATCTCGCCGCGCCGGGTGTCATAGCAACCCCACCAGCCACCCCTGGAGGCAGGCGCGCGGTGCCCCGCCGCTGGTGGGTCGTTCACACGAGTGCAGCGGGGTCCTACTGACAGATGCGGGGGGCAAGGCGATCAGCGGCCTAGGACGCTCAGCGCAGGTGACTTCTGTCCCAGAACTGGGAGTGTGCCCCAAGCCCAGGATCAAGGAAGCTGGTCACCCATACAAGACGCAGGCAGGCTGACTTCTGGAAGGCAGACTCATGAAAGCTTAATGCGTACTTATTAGTACCTCCTCTGCTTCTGAGAAATTTCTGGAAGCCCTTGACACTCAGTTTTCAAATAGACCACATATGAAATATCAGGTTTATGCTGCTGCCATTTGTTTCTGGGTAGCAGTGTTATCAGCTTCAGTGGAGTGAACCAAAGCTGTATGATCCATCATTTTTTACCAAAATGAATTCATTGCTAAGATTATCGTGTCAGCATTTTTTTTCCCGTATTATTTTGTAATAAGTTAGCTTGAGATGGGGAGAGGAATAAAGCCAGAATTTGTAATGGATTTATATTTTATCAAAAAATTGGGGCAAGGCTCATTGGACATTCTATACATTCAACTAACTTGGACACCAATCCCCCAGGCCAAGTTGTCTCACTTGTGTAAAATAGAAATAGAAATAAAAGCTCCTTGAGGTAGGGGGGTAAACAGACCCAGGGAGACAGGCAGGAGGTAAACAGGTAGACAGGAAAACAGAAGACAGTCAAGGCAGAGGGAATGCAGGTACAGGACCAGGTAGGTGACCCTCAGCTGGGGGCAATGACCCCCGTAACTGCAGAGGCAAGCAGAAGGTGAAGGGGCACCTTTTGGTGAAAAGCTTACCAAACGTGATTGTCACCCAGCCTTGAAACACACATCTCAAACTTTCTTGTCTCATGAACCTAAAAAGCATTTCTATGATTTTTTATGTCCCAAGTCTTACTACATTGAAAAGGTCTAGAGCTGCACTGTCCAATACAGTGGACACTGGCCATATGTGGTGATTTGAATTAAAATTAAATCAAATTAAAAGTTTACTTCCTCAGTCACACTGGCTACATTTTAAGTGCTCAGTAGTCACCTGTGGCTAGTGGCTACCATATTGGATAGCACAAATAGAGAACGTTGCCATCATCAGAGATAGTTCTATTGGACTACACTGTTCTTGAAAGTAGCCCCATTTTTTTTCAAGTAATTATTCTAAATAAAGATATGTTAGATGACAGTTTCACTGAGTAGATGATTCCTGGGTTTCAAGCCTGGGTGTCTAGCGGAGAGTGGGAGGAGTCTTGGTAAGGTAGGCAGCTCTTCTGTGAAAATAAAGCATGGTACCTCCAGGCTTGAGCACTGCCCAGGAAATTTCCAGATATGGTGGCTGCCTGACCAATGGCATTCACCGCTCTCATCCCTGAGTTTTGTTTCCACTGTAGTGATCTCACAAAGATTACCATAACCATCCCGGGCCCCAGGGCACACTACTCTCCAGTAAAATCTCAGACCCTCCAAACGGACCCAAGCTCCACTTTCTTCTTAGCAAGAAGAGGTCAGATTAAAACCACTACCAAGCCTTTCCCAACTAAAATGGGAGAAGGAAAGAAGAAATGAACACATGCTGTGCAAGTACAGTTGTGATGCGGGGTCGGTGAGCCAAGGAGTCGAAAGAAAGATTTCTTAGACTCTTAAGATCTGGCAGTAGTGCTCTTTTATTTAGAGAATAGTGTAGCATGGGGACAGGACCCATGGGCAGTCAGAGCTTCTGCTGCCCCAAGTTGAGGCTTAGAGCTAAATTTAAGGCATAGGTATATGATTTATCTCTTTACAAGACAAAGGAAAGAACATGAAAAAAAGTTAAAATGGTATCAGTGCAGGTGGGGTCTGGTCATTGGGTGATCCCATGACTTTTAGACAAGAATCAAATCGGATTAAGTAAAGGTTAGAAAGGGTAGACGCCACCACCCTAAACCAGTTACACGAGATTGCCAGACAGCAACCAACTTAAGTTCTTGCCTTCCCCATTAAGAGTTTCTAGGGACAAGGTCATCTCTCCTCTTCTTCCTGGTACAGAGAGGGAGGCACGTTTTACAGGTAGAGATTTACCTTACAAATGTAAATGAGTCCCAACAAGGGCACGTTCCATTCCCCAGAGCCTCCTTCCCTGTCCCAGCCCATCAAAAGCAATCAGCCCCAAACAATCCCGATGCCAAAGAGACATATCCTGGGGTGGCCAATTTCAGGTCCCTACAAGGTCATCCCCCCTTCCTTCACAAACGCAAATGTCTCAAAAGGGCAAGCAAAATTCCAGTCCTCGGAGCCTGCTTCTCACCTGCAGTTTAAAAAGTAACCAGCCTAAAAATCCTCATCATAAACCGTTTTAAAATTAAGCAGCCTAAAAATCCTCATCAGTTGGACTCACAATGTTGACGTTCATGGCTAGCCTTCTCGAGAGGCTCACAGAGCCAGTCCCCTTGCACTCTTCTGCATATGCTGCACACAACTTTGCAGGATCTTCAGTGGTTTGTCTCCCAGCTAGAAGTCTCCAGGGGTGTTGAGCACTGTCTCATTTCCTGTTACAGCACAGCTCCCTTTGTTTCCAGAGTTCAACGCTTGCAGCCTCAAGTGAGACCTTGTCTTCTACAGACGATTGGTCCCTTACAGGCCTAACAAAATAGTGCCTTTCCATTAAATAGCAAGAGAGCCATTCAATATAAATTGCATACATACCCAAGAGCCAGGTAGGTAGTTTTAGACTTAAATTTGCTAGTAAGGTGATGGTTTAACCACAAGTTAAGTTTGTGGTGATGCTGAAGTGTCCAAATGGAGGTATTCTCTTATTTAAAAAAAACAACTTTAGAAAAGGGAAGGATGGCAGGGAGGGGCAGGCTGGGCTGGACTACCCTAGACTGGAGCTCTGATGCACGGGAAATCTGCCTTTAATTTGAACACATCTTCATTAGGACAGGATAATAATGATCTGCTATTGGAGGCTATTAGAAGACTCTCGATGGAAACCCCAACTCTAAAAACAATTGTAGAATTAGGACTGTTAGGTGACTAACCCACAAGCAATAAGCAAATTATGGGCAAGTAATGTTTTGTGTAAAAAATAAATTTGTTTCCATCCCAGCTAAACCACTGTTCTAAACTCTAGAACCCTTTCTAAAGGCCCACAAGGCTTAAGATTCAGCACTAAAGGGATTACTGGTGACCTTAGAAACTGCAGTTTCATTTGAATACGTTTTGCTGGGAGGGTCAGCACTGTGATGCAGAGGGAATGTGAAGGATGTGGGTAGAAAGAAGGGGTGAAGACAATTCATTCAGAGTCTGGCTGCAAAGGACAGAAAGAGATGTGGCAACAGCTAGAGATGAAAAGAAATAAAGGACTTTTTTCAAATGGTTTTGATAGTGGTTACTTGCATATGTGTTCTAAAATAGAAGAGAACTGACAAGACCCAGCAAAAGGAAGAAGTTAAAGATGAAAAAGAGGTTATGGAATGGAATGAAGTTCTACAAGAGGCAAAATACAGAGCGTAGGGGGGTCTCCTTCAGCAATAAGAGAGGGGGAAGAATTGGGTGCAGTAAGTTCGCAGATGAAGTGCAGGACACTGAGACAGCACCTGTTTCCTACCCTGTATTTACCCCATGAACAAAGAGGTGAAGGCATCTACTTAGCAAGATGAGGGAGGAAATCTGGACTGGGTAAGGACTCAAATAGTCATTGTGGAGTATGAGATGAGAGCAGATTAGAAGAACACAGAACAATGCAATGAAGGAAGGAAGATGGTCTTTTTTATTTTTAAAGCAGACACCTCCTGGTGATGTGGATTTCAATGGGTACTAATCATGGAGCACTTGAGAGATTGAAACAAGACATTATTTTCATCGTATTTTATATAAAATAGACATTTACATAAATTTTATTTTGGAAAGACAAGGCAAAGTATACATAATCAGACTTAAATGGGAGAAATACTTTATGGGATCTATTTCTAACTGGCACAGCAAAAGTAACAAAAATGTACATTTATATACAACTGATCAAAGGAGGAAATAAAAGCGTTATGAACAAAGAACATGATGCAAGTCATTTCCCCTGACAAAAGGCGGGATTGGTGTGAGTTACAGCAAGTCAAATGACTTCCACATTATAAAAGCAAGCCATGGCTTCTACAGGTATTTTCATTCCTTAGGAGAAAATTTTTTTAAATCTTTTTTCCCCTGGAAACATAACAAAATCATTAATTTTTGTGTGTACAGGCAGCAAAATGAGTAGGTACCTCTGCCAGGTTAAACCACTTGGGCAGTTCCATCCCTTTTAGGGTTGAGTATGTGTTTTGTTGTGGTGATTATCTTTTAAGAATTTCTAAAACAAAGGGCAACACTTAGTTACGTCTTTAGGTGCAGAGGGCTTTGAATCTGGATTCAGGAAACTCAGAGAGCTTAATGGTTCCATAGAACTAACCAGGCCTTTAAAGCGTAATAAATAGAACTGAGACATTTGGTAACTTGCCTAAGGTGAGGTGGCTCCTGGGTGGCAGAGACAGAACTAGAACCCAGATTTCATGATTCTCGGACTGGTGCACCCCCCATTATGGACCAGCAAGACGACCCCGAAAGGACATTATCCACATTGGAAACTTCCACACATATACACCATGTGAACCATGGAAACTGGGAAGAAACTCTTGGATTTCTGGATATGAACATCTCTTTCCAGTCTGGTGTAAATGGTGATCTAAACTCACAAATTAATAACGACTGTCTATTGTGATGGATGCTGATTTTATGAGATGTATACCCTAAAGGTTTTAACTGAAGGAATCCTTGGTGATAAAAATGGGACATTTTTATATGAACCAATTGACAAATATGAATATCACTGATTTTGTTGTGCTATTTTATTTTACTGATATTAAACCGTGCCTTCCAACACAGTTATTTTATTTCTTCTCTTTAAGTTGCATGGCTACTAAAAACAAAAATAATGAGGAAGGGCTATTTTTGGAAGAATTGTTCAACATGTTTTTCTTTTACATCAAAAACTTCAATAATAATAAGAAAAAGTTATAATATTTCCCTATATATATATTTTTGGCATTGTAAGCTTTTGTCATAGTTGCAGCCTAAATGCAAGATTTGAAAGGTATCTGCTCTTTTAAAAAGTTGAAAGATGTCATTCAGATAGTTGTTTTGCTATTATTGGGAGATACCAACCTATAATTTAATCAAAGTAAATGTGATTTGAAAACCAGGAAAAAAATTAAAAACAAACCAACCACCTACAACTACGTCTGCTTTGAACGTTGTTACTAATATCCTATAGATTTATTAATCTAAGGTGCAAATCCACCACAAATCAGATCAAGTGTTTTTTTCCCCAAAAACTGATTTTAATGAGTACAATTAAGAAATAATTAACAAAAGATGACATGTGTGTGACCCAAAGAGAGACACAGGTCTAAGCATAAACTATGTCATGGACACCTTCTATGAGTCATAAAAAAATATGAGTTTTATATACTGAGCACCTCATCTGGTACATGTGAATGGCAAGGCGATTCCTCTCCATCTGAGATCCAAGAATTCTATAATTATAAGGTTAAATTATAATCCAGTTGCTACAAGTGCGCCAGCCCACCCAACCCACCTGTTTGTCAATGATTTGTTTGTTGGAATGACAGTCTCAACCAACCAATTGTACCATAAATCATTCTTTAGAACTCTTTGGCTCATTATAGTCTAGATTTAAAAGTAAAAATTGTGAAAGAGTATAAACATCTCTTTTGTGAGAGTCATAAACTCCCATTAAAGTTGTTAGCCTGCGGTGGCTCTCTAGTCTAGCTGCATATGAGAATCATAACACGGGCAGCCAGCGTCCAGGGATTTCCAGAGGTCCCCAGGTGGCCCTAAAGTCCAGCCAGGGAGGAGAGCCCCTCGGTGTGAAGGACTAGATCTCAACTGTCAGCAGAATGGGGCTCTTCAATCTGAGGGGCCTGGAATGCTTCATAAAGACAGTAAGAAACTGCACATTTGCTTTCTATTCCCCTCCAGATTACAGCATTTGTAGGTTGGTTTGTGCGCAATGGTTTGGATTTTCTCATTTAGTCTTGTTGAAAAGCAGTTGTACAGAAGCATTTGCACAACTGCTACAAGACCCTGCATCACAGAAGCACCACCTGTTATGAACGTCAGAATCCTATGCTGGGGCTGTGAAGCACGCTAGAGGGTCGGATTAAAGTGCTGCCAATCCTCTTTGTGATAGGCTTCAAAAGAAACAAACTCAAAAGGATATCTCTGAGGACTCCCTAAAATAAATTTATTTTCCTCCAAGGTATGTGAATCTTTGGTTTAGTTCACCTATGTTATATCACTGAGCCATGTTTTATGAATACCGCGAACAGATTGAAAACATCTGCATCATTTAAAAAATCCTGAATAATTCTTAAGGTTGAAATAAGCTTGTAAAGCCATTCTCATGACTCCTATGTCAAAGGACAAGTTAAAGGATTGCCACTTATTTTGAAGGCAAGGAGAACTGGTCCTAGGTATGACTGAAGGACAGGTTAGACAGATTGGCAGGAGGAGGGGGGAGACATGTACATGAGAAACTCTAAATGTAGCTGAGAAGAAACAGCAAATGCTGCTCAGAGAAACACAGTCACAGATGAAACTCTGACCACTGGATCAAGTGTTCAGGCAGACTGAAGCACCTCCTGTCTTGTCCTTAGCAGTGTTCCCTTCCACCCAGGACCCACTACATATTTGAGAACCCAGTGCAAAATGAAATTGTGGGACCCCTTGTTCAAAAATTATCAAGAAATTTAAGCAGAGTATTCAACCAAGCCTAAGGTGCTTGTGCGTGCAGGACCCTGAGGGACCACACAGCCTGTATATCAATGAAGCTGGCTCTGCAATGCCATCTCAGGAAGGGGCTTTCAACTCACATGCCAAGCATGCTTTCATTGAGGGCAACCCCGATGCATCTCCATGATTAGCCAGGGCACTCCATTTTTATTTTGATAACGATAAAATCTGCATATGATTTCATGTTACAAGGACCAAATAAAAAATAGTTACAAAATACACTTGATATTTTTGAAAAATAATATGTGGTTTATTTTTGTATAGGCACCATTTCAACTATGGAAACTATTTCATTGGCCACAGCTCAGTGAAGTAGTATTAACTCAGGAAAAACATCTGATGGAACAGTGGTTACTTTTAATGTTCAAAGAGATGCCAGTGTGGGCAGACAGAATGAGACAGTGAGAGAGAGAGAGAGAGAGGAATGGAAGGAGGGAAGGAATCACAGACAGGCAGGGGGTGGGAGGAGGGCAAGCACCCAAAGGAAGGCAGAAAAAGTCTCCTGAAGGCCATGTGACCCTATTCTCTCAGAAACTTTCAGGCTGTAATTGTCATTTCAATTATTCTAACAAATGTACTCCCCTTCCTTCAGCAGCGCTTCAAGTAGGGTATACGTGGTTTTCAAAATTTGGGGCTCAGTCTTTTCCATTAACTTTCTAAGGGTGAGTTTTGGTTATAGATTATTCTAAAAACTTGTGGTTAAAGTCTTAGGTATTGTTTTTAGGTAGAGCTTCATATTATTCAGTTTGGGGTTGGGACGGTTATTTTACAATCAACACCGGAGTATATTTCTTGGCTTTAGGACTACAGAAGTATAATTTGGGGAAGAAAAATATTTTAAATAAAATTTTGAATAAATTTATGATATATAACCTTAAAAGACTACTAGAAGATCATTCGTAATATATACATTATTGGATTGTTGATGCACACACAGGGATGTATGCTAATGCAAAATCTGTAATCCTTTGCATTTAAAATATTCCTCGAATCATCTCTTTCCAAAGAAGTTTTTCTTCCTTTTATATATATTTACCTGGACAACAACAACAACAACCACAACAACAATATAGGGGCAGTGTTTCCTGATACTGAGTTGAAAAGAGGCAGAAGACGTTTTACTCTGCCCTGGCCTGAACATGTGGAATACGTGTGCCTTCAACCTACTCCATCTCTGTGATACCTGGCTCAGCACCATGAACAGCACTGCCCAGACTGTTTTGTTTTTGTTTTTTTAATTTTATGATGATGACCAAATTAGAATCAGGTGTTGAAATTTCAAAGTATCTACCAAAATATATTACCACCCAAAAATATATTACCACCCAAACACTGAAGGCTCATCCCTAATTTCTTTAACTTCAGCAAGCAAATAGTCCATATAATTTTTTGGAGGGGATGTTAAAACTTAAGAACTTTGTAATTTAGATTTATAATTTTTGAGTGATCAGTTTTGAAAGCTGTATTAACTATGTACAAAGAAAAACCTGTGTGTATACATATATTAAGTATTTTATAAGTTATGAAATAAATAACACTAAAAAACAAATGTCAAATCGTAAGTTCAATTTTGCCTTATCTTTTAAATATAAATATATATTTTTTTAAATTATGAAGTTAGACTTTTTCCTGGATTTGTTGAGCATTCCCCATGAAATCTCCAAAATTACAAATAGAGAACCAAGAATTCTGGGTGTGTATCACTCATGTTCTAAGCACAGAATTCTCATTAAGCCTAGGTAGACAATCAATAGAGCTCTCCTTCCATCTAGTTAGAGTCTACGAAAATTTCTGTGATATATTGTAAATATTCCTCAATGGTTAAATATATTTTTCAAAAAAAATAATAAATCTCATGATGTCTGAATGTTAAGATAATAAAGCAGAACATTTCTCTCAGTTAATATCTTTAATATTTCTCATGTAGAATATACTATTTTTTCTCCACCAAAATAACAATATATTTGGAGGCAGAAACATTTATGACTTTAAAAGCACTTTTAAAATCTTAGAGCAGAACCACTACTCTAGCAATACTCGTAATAAAATTAAAATAATTTTTAAATCTCCATAAAGAATTAGGGGTACCAAGATCCGTGATGTTCCCCTAGAGATAGGAATATCCGTACACAATTCAAAAGCTTCTTTTTTGATATATTAGGCAATGGGCAAAGCTTGCATCAGAGAGGAATTTAATTTACTCCTCACTAGAGCTCCAGCAATGTCCTTAGGGGGATATGAGATCAAGCTCCTTTTCTCCATATATTCCAGAAGGTTCTACAAAAACCACTAGATACTCATTTCTGGTTCTGGAGAATTAAATGAGCCACCTCTTGGTCCAGTTTCCCAAATGACTTATCTCAGAGGATTGATTTTCTTTGAAATATCTCATCTCATCAAGAAGAGATGCTCTTCATAGCATTTCAAGCTTCTATATTTCTGGGACATAAAAGTCTAAACTAAGAAGTCGAATCAGATCTCCAGATTGCAAAAGCAGAGAAATACATGAAGGGAAATCTGGAGTTAAAGCAAATGAAAATCTGTGAAACGTGCCTTTGTTGTTTTCCTCCAGCTCTGACCTCCCTGCCCTTGCTCGCTCTTTTTGTCTTTTTTCATGGAAACGCCAGTCCCACAGCACAGGGCTCCCAGCAGGTGTCTGCCAACGTGCCACCCTCAACTGGGAGTGACAGGAAAGCTTCACTGGCTGTGAGAGCAAGGCCTCCATTACTTCTTCCTCTTCCAGAGGCACCAGCACTGTCCTTCGAGACAGAGGCAAGTGCCGCTACGTATGATCCTTGTCTCGAATTTCTTGCAATCGTTTTTCGAGGCGATCCAATTTGGCGAGATTTTCCTGCAGCAGTTTGCTGTCTGGAACCAGCTGTAAGGCTCTCTCATAATAAGCTCTTGCAGACACATAGTTTCCCTGTTGAGAAAAAGAAAGAGAATAATTCTATTCTGAACCATCAGAACGTTCTGTTGGAGAAGGAGGAAACTAAGAAACAGACCTTCTCATCCAGTTTCATATCAATGGCCTCCTAAGGAAACCCTGTCTGCATGTGTAACTTTACCCTTATCTGTTGGTGCTTTTGGAGAATCCATTTGTTTTAAGTACCAGACCAGCTGGAGAATGTGAAGGATAAGAGTTATATCATAAGGGTAAATGGCAGAAAAACAGATTTTCAATTCTGCTAATGCAGGGTATGCAGCTATCATTTCAGAGTCTTCTCATAAGGTTAGCACTACTCTGTAATCAAATGGAGCCATGGCACTATAAGTTCCTATTGAGAGAGAGAGAGAGAAAGAGACAGAGGGAAAGAGAGAGAGAAAGAGAGGCGTGTGTGTGTGTTTTTGTGTAAGAAATGCTTTTGAAACTGTAAGAGTAATGATCAAAAAGTAAATAGTTTAGGAATCCACCATATCTACTTAGAGGGTAGGAGTTATTCTAATCTTCAACTTAAAACATAAAACCAACTTTTGCCTAATATAGGCTTTAATGCAAATGTAAGTTTTTATAAAATGGAAAAAACTGGTAAGAATATGGAGTCAAATTTATCCCATACTCAAGTTGTGTGACCTGCTGGATATTCTTAAAGCAGGAGGGAAGGTATGTCACTTCTGACCTGCCAAAGGCACCTGTTTCTACCCACTTTTGGCCCCAATCTGGTTTGTTCAATGCCTCCCTAACTGGCAACCACATGTGCCTGGCCCCATATGGTCCTTGGCAAGTTAGTCACAATTATTAACTTTTCCCAGCCCTTTTTCTGCTGCTAAATAACAGTTACCTTCCTTATTTGGTCTACCCTTTCTCAGATCTGTGTCCTGCCAAGTCTCAGAACTAAGATCGCTGGAGATCTCTCCATCCCCCAAAATACGAATTTGCTCTTTATTTTCTCCTTTATTCTTATGTGGATGAAACCGGTTACTGTCTAAATTTCCATCACAATTTAAAATAGTATCTCTTGGAGTGAAAGTATTATGTAGCAATAGCGACTAATATTTACTGAATGCTTAACTATCTTCCAAATTTCCATCACAATTTAAAATAGTATCTCTTGGAGTGAAAGTATTATGTAGCAATAGCGACTAATATTTACTGAATGCTTAACTATCTTCCAAGTGAGTTAATACGTGTCAAGAACTTAGATGCTGCCTGACACATAGTGAGCTCTCAGTCTGAGACTATGATTATTGCTATTATGAAATGACTATTCAGGCTCTAGGTAAACACTGCCTATTTCCTATAGTATTCACTTGTCATATTTCTGAAAAGGAGAGTAGAAATAGAACAGGGAATTGTACTTTGGGAATCCAGGCTCTGGCATGTGTACAAATGAAAATATTTCTGATTATTAACACTGATTCTGAGAAGGGGCTAAACAGAATTCTGAAGGAGTGAGAACTCAGATTTGCTATGTTAAATTATTATGGTTTTTTTCAATGCAAGCATTTATCTTCCAAGTGTCCTCTGATGTTTATTAAGCTTAGCACATCCATGCAGACAAATGAACATTTGCGGCTGTTAGAGTGCTCTCAAAATATGTTTCTATTATAGTTGATTCTGAAATTATTCTTCCAAGAGGTTTCTCTGAATTTAGGCCTTGGTATCTCCTTTTCTGATCACCAGCTTTCTCTGTCCTTTCAAACAAAATCTAATCATAGAGTTTTTTTTTCTCTCCCTCAAATTGCTCTTTTCTTGATTAAACTGGAAGCCTTATTTTTTTTTTAAGTTATATCCCTTAATTCAATGTCTGCAATTCCTAGATGCTAGTTAGGGAATCTGAATTATCCAATTTCTAGAAATATGCTTTCTACTATGATAGCCACTAGTCACATGTGACTATTTAAATTAATTATGATTAATTAAGAATTCAGTTGCACAGTTGCACCAACCACATTTCAAGTGCTCAATAGCCACATGAGGGTGGCTAGCGGCTACTGCCTTGGGTAGTGCAGACATAGAACATTTCCATCATCTCTATCAGATAGTGCCATTCTAGAAAATGCATTAATGTCATAAGGCAGTATTGAAAACAGTACTTTGTGGAATGGCCCAGTTGATGCAATTCTTTGATTAGAAACAAGGTATTATAGCTTTTTTGGCCCATCCATTTCATCCTATATAAAAAACATTGTTTATTACCAAGTGGTACGAACAAGAGACAACTCCCTTCTCTTTGTGTCACCTTGCAAAGCCTTATTCCAACTCTCCCCTTACCACAGCCCTGGGTCCCTCCTAAGCTGCCCGCAGGCTCAGGCAAAGAGTGAGGCCCACGAATGGGAAAACACTGCCTGAGGCACACACTACCCAGTGAGGCAAAAGACAGAAAGTTAATGATTGTTTTTGAAGGTCTCCTAATGATAATCCTGCATCTTAATGGTGCCATCAAGATGACCACAACCAAGCCATGTGCCTGCTCCATATATTTATATTGGACTGCATTACATGAATTCACTGATATTAGACCATTTTTAAACTATCAACATGGCAGTTTCATTGTTCAACCTAATACATGATGTCCACAAAGATGAAAAACAGGATAAACTAATTTTTAATCAGCGTGTTCATTACATTCTAAAATAATACACTTAATAGATCCTTCTTCAATCTCTGGACATCTTTCAGGGGAAGTTATTCTAAATTTAAAGCAATGGGTTCACTTGTTAACTGAAAGAGTTCAATAAATGTACCATTTTCTTTGTATTTCCAGACTTTTTGGACACTCTTGAGTGTATTTATTATCCTTTTTCTAATTAGCAATTGACCCCATTGCTTTAAATGCAGGTGCTCTCCATCCAAAAACATACGGAGTGTATTACTTGAAAATGTAACTATTTAAATATTTAAAATTTTGTTACTATTTTAAAGGTAAGTTCATTCTATGTTTCCCAACTGGATGTTGCTGGACACCCTAGAACATCACTGAGATCAGAGCTCGGGTTACTCAGCTCTGAGAAATGTCATGCTTGGATCTGCCATCTGTGTTCCTCTATTAGAACAAGGCTAATGGTCGTGGAGTAACTCATTGGCTCACCTTTTTTTTGTTGTGTTTCTGAGAGTGATCGGTTTCCACTTAATAGTAAACCCCATTAGGCCTTGTTGAAATTCTAATTACTATCTTGCCATGTATGAGGGTTAAGACTGATAAAAGCCTCCAAGTAAGTTAGTGACCCTTTAAAAACATATCAGACCATGGCATTTCTCTGCTCAAAGTCCTCCAAGGACCCCAACTCATTCAGCATAAAAGCCAAAGACCTTACAATCCCCTTCAAGGCCCTGCATGCTCTGGCCCTGTGACCTCTCTGACCCCAGCTGCTACTATTTCCTCTCAACTGCTTCCTTCCTATTCTTCAAAGATAGCAGGCACACTCGTACCTCAGGATCTTTGCACATGCTCTTTCCCTATTTTGCCATATGGCTCGTTCCCTTCAGGTCTCTGCTCAAACACCACTTTTTAACTAAGACTTTCCTTAACCACCTTAATTTAGAATTTGTGCCCTAATTTCCTGGTACTCTCTCTTTCTTTTCTTTTTTCCCCATAGCACTTATCACCATCTGATATATTTTATGTGTGTATACATGCATGTGTATGTTTATTTATTGATTGCCTGTCTCCTCCTACTGGAATGTTAATTAGCACAGAAATATTTGTCTCATTTATTCATTTCTGTATTCCCAGTGCTTAGAAGAGTACCTGGCACACAGGATGCTCTCTACAAATGCTTGTCAAATGAATGGATGAATGAATGAATGACCATGAATCTTTGAATCTATTAGCTGTAGACAATAATCCCCCCAAGGGTCATTTTCAACGATCTACCCAGAGGAAGCTTTTTCTTTTGGGAAAAACAAACAAACGAACAAACACAAACAACCAACTTTGTTTTTCAGTAAAAGATTAGGGAGTAAAAGATATATTAGGAAAAAGAAATAGTGAATTAATATTTAAAGTAACACTTTATCTTGATAGTGAGTTAAGCTGCAGGAGGATAAGGTAGACCAAACTCCAGTAAGTTCACATAAGCAGATTTTATCTGCTCCATCATGATACTTCACTTAAGTACACATGATTTTTTTATGATAAATAAAATCATGGAATCTAACTTATAAAGATTTATTTAAAAGGGGCCGGCCCGGTGGCACAGCAGTTAAGTTCGCATCTTCCGCTTTGGCAGCCCGGGGTTCGCCAGTTCGGATCCCGGGTGCGGACATGGCACCATTTGGCACACCATACTGTGGTAGGTGTCCCACGTATAAAGCAGAGGAAGATGGGCACGGATGTTAGCTCAGGGCCAGTCTTCCTCAGCAAAAAGAGGAGGATTAGCAGCAGTTAGCTCAGGGCTAATCTTCCTCAAAAAAAAAAAAAAAAGGCTTCATGACATTCAATATCTAGATAATACAAGAACATAAATTGTGCTCATTTCACTTTGAAACACCTATGTGTTCCGTATTCAAATAATTCAAAGAGGAAATTCACTATAGTTTCTCAATCTTATAAGAGAGAAGAAAGACAGAGAGAGAAAACACAACGGGAAATCCCAGTTCACAGGGAAGTGGATTATCTTCCTACCTTGATGTGTTGGATTCCACCCATGTTCATCCAGGCCTGCGCTTGATCTGGATTTAGTTCCACAGCTGCTTTATAGCTCTAAATATACAAGAAATATCTTCAGGTTGTGAAATGAGAACCCACCTTTAACGCTAGAGGATTGTGGAAACCGCTTTCTTTATATGTGAAAATTTAAATGGTTAATAAAATGAACAGCCACTTCTGGTTCACAGGTGTCCCGTTTACTTCCATTATGTTTCAAAGGCTCTGATTCTAAAGCGGAGGAAAGTAAAATGTGTAATTTCCCTGCAGAGCCAACCTCTGGACTTAAAGAGACTGAAGACGCCCGCAGGGAATCCAGGAGATTTCTATTATAGTGCATCATTTCCCGCTGGCTTTGACCTGCGTGAAAATGGTGCTTTTCGGCCCTTTTCACCATAAATGGAGTTTGTAAGAAAATTTTTTCATAATCACAGAATCTTAGAGTAGTTCCCTAAAGAGCTTAACCCTTGGGCAGTAACCCCTCTCACAACATCTACTCTGGTTATTCAGCCTGTGCTTGAGCTCTCACAGTGGCAGGATGATCCTGACTTCTTCAAGGACATCTATTTCCCTAGGGAATGTTTTTAATCATTAGAAAACCTTTCTTTTTCTTCTGCCATGTGAAAGGTCTTCAAATGTTTGAAGAGAGTTATTGATCCTTCAAACACTTTTATTTGTCTGAATAACATGTATCTCATTAAATGCAATATCCGTGAGGATTTCTTTTTTTAAGATTTTATTTTTCCTTTTTCTCCCCGAAGGCCCCCCAATACCTAGTTGTATATTTTTAGTTGTGGGTCCTTCTAGTTGTGGCATGTGGGACGCTGCCTCAGCATGGCCTGATGAGCAATGCCACGTCCACACCCAGGATCTGAACCAGTGAAACCCTGGGCTGCCGAAGCGGAGCACTGAACTTAACCACTTGGCCACCCCCCTCATGAGGTATATTTTTAATATTTTGCCTGTTGTTTTGCATCAAAGGAATGCTCACCACTGAGTCTTGATTTTAAGAGTGATCACCTTAGACAGAACTAAAGGCTAAGAGTGTCACCTTCAGTTACACAAAGCTAAGTATCTGTGTGTATAATTTAATGCTCCTTGCAATTTTCATTAGCAAGAATCCACCCGAACGAATCCATAAATTAACTAGAATCTGTCCATCCCTTCTCTACTTCAGTTTTAGGAGAAAAAAGCAAATGTTAAGAAACTGTACTCTTGCAGCTGGCCCCGTGGCTGAGTGGTTAAGTTCGAGAGCTCCACTTTGGTGGCCCAGGGTTTCGCTGGTTCAGATCCCGGGCACAGACACGGCACCGCTCATCAGGCCACACTGAGGCAGCGTCCCACATGCCACAACCACAAGGACCTACAACTAGGATATAAAACTGTGTATTGGGAGGGCTTTGGGGAGAAGGAGGGAAAAAAAAGAAGATTGGCAACAGATGTTAGCTCAGGGCCAATCTTTAAAAAAAAAACAACTGTCCTCTTAAAAGCTCCTAAAATAAACTTGAAGGATGTGTCCCTTGGATTAATTTTTATCAGCAGAGATGGGATGCAGTATAGAAATCAAGAGCCTGGATTCAAACCCTGGCTCCATCTCTTCCCCTCTACATGACCTTGAGCAAGTTACATAACCTCTGAGCCTCAGTTTATCCAACTGTAAAGTGGAGACAATGACCAGGCCTTTCTTATATGATTACTATGAAGATTAAATTACTTAATACATGTGAATCATACATAAAAATGCTAACACATTTTTTGCTTCTACTATTAGCCAATGACTCTACTCCTACCCTTCATAAATCTAGCAACCCTGCAATGATTATTTGATCCATTGGCCAAGCAACTAGAGAATACTTTTGTTTTCAATACAATATATATTATTATATTACATATAATATATAATGTATATTCAATACAATATTATATATATTCAATATAATATATATGTAATATATTAATATATATTGCATATTATATACAGTATATAGAGATATAGAAACCACATAAATATTCATAATTAAATAATTAATCATTCCAACTGTCATGTTAGTTATAAATAACCTAAGAATGATGGTATTGAAAATGTTCACAAGGCAGAGAAAAATGCACAATTTCTGCCTCAAATACGCCACTGTTTCTGTTTTAAGGGTTCATATTCAAATCAGTTTTTCCAAATATCCTTACATGTATTTTCCAATAATTTTTTAAAAACCACTCACTGTTTAGTTTCAAAAACAATTATATCACTTGAAAATTTACTTTTCCCATGATAGATTTAATGTAATTTTATACCTTCATTAATTCCAACTTGTGCCTTTACTGGATACAAGGAAAACGTATGGTATTTCTGTAACATTCTATTTATGTTTGTGAATGTCTTTTTGATTCAAACTGTGTATCGACTGTATTCCAAAGCTGTAGATACTGAACATCCATAAGATGCAACATGCTTTGTTTTAGAACACAGAAGGAAGCAGTCCCTTTCCACAGGGAAAAGTCCACTCTAACTGGGAAGCTAACCTGCATGCATGCACATGCACAGAGGGGTGGGAGACAGAAAGAGAAGGAGGAGAGAGAAAGAGACCTAACAATACAACGTGATAAGAAATTTTCAATATTGAGGTAAACAGGGTAGCTATTCTGGTTTAAACCTGATTCAGCCTGAACTAAAGAAGCCTGACTTACGGCCTGTCAAACACACTGTACACTTGCTTGAACCATTCAGGTAAGGATGCATCAAACATCATCTCAAAGCAGAAGAATGCACTCTGAAGATAAGGATGCTTACTTCCTTCCCTCCAGTATGGTATGGAGGCCAGTATGGGTAACGCCAGTATCGGTACTTCCTGGAAGATAAGTTTTCCTGTCCTGGACATCAGGTCATGTTGACCTGCTAATCTGTAACTGAATATCTATTTGAAACTTTGATGAATATATATCCTGGGTATGTTTGATGTATGTTCTTTGTTCTAAAAAGCTATAAAACTGTACTGGAAATCATGCTTCTCCAGAATGCTTTCCTCCTTGGTGGAGACTGCCTTCCCAGGCTAGTCCTCAGCTCGGCTCAAGTAAATCTCACCTTCTCTCTCTTATTTATAAATGGTTATTGGTTATTTGCATTGACAAATGTAACATATGACACTTTCTAATGCCTGGTAGAAACAGTAAGTGTTTTAAGGGTTCGGAGGAAACAAGGTCACGGGGAGAAAAAATGGTCCAGGGGCTTCCTGAGGGAGGAGGACACAGGCTGTGTGTTAGTGGATGGGGGACTCTGCAGGGGGTCAAGAGGCGTGGTGGGAAGGATATTACAACAAGGACATGTGGGAATGCCCAGAGGCATTCAGGCACTAGTCCAGCTGGAATAAAGGATTATTGAGGGCAAACAGAGAGAAAAAGAGCGAGAGCGAGAGCAAGAGAGAGAGAGAGAGAGAGAAGCTGGTTTGAGGGCAAGGTGTGGAATGCTTCAAAGATTAAGATAAAGATGATAATTTAGGGGGTTGGCCCCAAGGCAGAGTGGTTAAGTGTGTGTGCTCCGCTTCAGCAGCCCAGGGTTTCACCAGTTCGAATCCTGGGCGCAGACCTGGTGCCACTCAACAGGCCATGCTGAGGTGGCGTCCCACATGCCAGAACTAGAAGGATCCACAACTAAAAATACACAACTATGTACTGGGGGGGCTTTGGGGAGAAAAAGGAAAAATAAAATCTTTTTTTTAAAAAAAGATGATAATTCAAAAAATAATGCAGAGGTATTGCAGGACTCTGAACAGTCAAAAACAGAGGCTCAATTATAAAGAATAAACTTATAACATTACATCAAGTAATGAGAAAATTCACTCCACAAACATGCCAATGATCTTAGGTTTTACTGTACAATATATGCTTCATTAAAGATTGAGGGAATATTAATTTCAATCCACGAATTTAATAATATAATTTTATTAAGTGTTTATACCTCAAAAGCTTTGTCAAGAAGGTTCTGCTCTCTTAGTTGGTTTCCTTTTGTAAAAAAAAGTTCAGATATAACTTTTGGGTCCTTTGGTTTCAGCCGCAGAGCCTTGTCTATAGCATCAAGAGCCTGCACAAATGGGAAATTGAGATAGAAAAAACTACGTTAGATAAAGAAAAACTAACCTAAATGGTGACATTCACACTTTTTGTTCTTATGTATTAGCTAGCTTGGTGACTGACAATCAAAACACATTCTTCATTCTCTCTGAGGTTCTCAGTGAGAAATAATGCAGCCCTGACAAAATAATTTCCCTATACCACCAGTTTCCCATTTATATTGGTGACACTGAAACGTCCTAATCACTTCACAGGGAGGTCGTGTGATATAGCTGAAAGAAAATAAGATGTGGGGTTGGATGTCTTGCCCTGCCCAAGTGTCCATCTGGACCACTCCAACAGCCTCCTCTTAGCTCCCTGGTGCCCACTCTGCTCCCATCACCCACTGCCCCACCGCCTGCCGCCAGAGATCCCTTCAAAGCATAAACCTCACAACACTGCTCTTCTTAAAACTCCAAAGCTTCCTCCAAGATACAGAACAAAACCAGGATAAGGACCGGACCGCAAGCCCTGAGGTCTAGTGCTCAGCAACCTCTGTAACCGCCATCTCACACTGCTCCCTGCTCCCTCATGCCCATCCCTCAGACAGGCCAATTTGCTGTTGCCACAGGGCCTTTGTGTGTGACTTTTCTTGTCTGAAATGCTCTTCACTGTCCTCTTATGCCTAATAACTCCTATTCATTACTCAGCTCTCACCTCACATCACTCTACAGGGAACATAAGCCCCGAGACCACTCAGGTCCCATGATTATATGCTCGTTAGAGACCATGCCACTCTTTAGGACAGCACTGAGCATGGCTATAATTCTACATTAGTCTTGTGACTACTTGTTTAACCTCTGTCTCCTCTTCAAAGGTAAAGTCCATGAGGACAAGGGCAATGATTTTTTATTTTTTTCACATCCCTTTAATCCTGGTGCCTACCACAGCATCTGGCAGATAGCAGGCATTCAGTAAATATTTTGTTGAGTCAGTTCATGAATTTACTGGTTATATGACTTTTAAAATGGAAATAAACAGTAAGAGTTGCAACATAGGGTCACTGACTTGCCTTACCAGGTTGTTTTAAGGATTTTATAAAAAGTATATTTGAAGGAACATGGAAAATGATAAAGCATACAAATGTTAGTCTTTATACCACATAAAATCTTCAGAGCAAGGATGAGCCAAGAAAATACTATTTCAAGGGGACATCTTAGGAGTTAAAGGGATATCTGTGAAAGCGTCTGTAAGATAGGACATGCCAACTGATGACATCAAGACTGCTCAGTCTTGTAAATGTGCTGACTGGAGAGGCATCTGGGCTCCCCTCATTTTCTACCCGTGAATGCAAACAACTCCCAACAGTGTCCCCTCTACCTTGTCGTGGAGCTCCTGCTTGCTGTAAATTGCTGACAGCAGGCGATAGCATTCAAGGCAGCCAGCCTCCTCAGACACAATGTGGATGGTCATCTTTTCAGCTTCTTTGGTCTGACCCATCACGGCCAAAACCTGAGCCTGCAAAAGCACACTGACCTTGGCTTAGAAGATGCTTCGTTATTAGCTTATCAACTAAAGCATCCCTGAATGGAGGCCTTCCAGAAATATGCCTGACAAAAGTGTTCAGCCTCTATTTGTGACTCACAGAGAGGGCTGAATTAGCACAGTTTACAGACTTGAATTTTCGCTTGTTTGTTTCTTTATTGAGGTATGTGCACGCATTTGTGTGTGAATGGTGGGAATATCAAAGATGGTCAGTGAAATGACTTGTGTCTTTTAAAAAAAAGTTGACCAAATATGGCAAAAGAGAAATTATTTCCTACAGTTTTGACAGAATACGGTGTTTATAACAACATAACGTATTTGATTTACTGCGAATCTAAGAAAAAGGAAGAGTGATGATCTAAAAATTGAAATAAAACATATTGTTGATATGAATTTTCCTTAATTGGAACACCATCCTGTGGTTATGTTAGAAAATGTCCTTGTTCTTAGGAACTATATGCCAAAATATTTAGAAATAAAGAGAATAACCTCTATCTCTCAGAGGGCTCAGGAAAAAAATAACATGTATTAATAACATGTATATGCACACATACACACTCAAATATGTACATATATACAAATATGCACATACACACATACTTGGGAGGGTGATAAACAAATGCATCAAAATGTTAAAAATTGATTAATCTGGGTGAAAGGGTATATAGAAGTTATTTAATATACCTGCCAATTTTTGTAAGTTGGAAATTATTTCAAAACAAAAACTTAAAAGTATTTTTAGCATCTACATCTTTGGTGAATGGCTCTCACACTGGTTATACGAATATTCATAAAATGGATATATTATAGCATTCGAGTTCCAGTTTTGAGGCTCACTGACTACAGCTCCCGACTTTGCACGCTGCGCAGAGGTGCATTGCCTCATTTTCTTTCGTCCCTCCACTCACCAGTGCCAGGCGGAGCTCCCTTTGAGAAGGCTGAAGGGCTGCAGCTTCCCGGTAAATCTGCAGAGCCTCTTCGTACCGGCCAGTGTTGTAATACAGGGCTCCCAAAGGTGATAGGATCTCAGCTTTGCGTGCCACCTGCAGGGCACTGAGTTTTAAGAAAGGCGAGGTCACAATTTTCTTCTAAGAGGTACATTTCCAAAGGTCAAAATTTAGATTTAGGGATGACTATCCATGGTTTGGAACTCTGCTCCAACATGGTCTTTTTTTTTTTTTTTAAAGATTTTATTTTTTCCTTTTTCTCCCCAAGGCTCCCCCCGGTACATAGTTGTACATTCTTCATTGTGGGTCCTTCTAGTTGTGGCATGTGGGACGCCGCCTCAGCATGGTTTGATGAACAGTGCCATGTCCACGCCCAGGATTCGAACCAACGAAACATTGGGGCGCCTGCAGCGGAGCGCGGGAACTTAACAACTTGGCCATGGGGCTGGCCCCCATTGTTTTTGTTTTTATACCAAGAAGAATGCTGAAAACAAAAAGATCATGGTGCCATCCTCTGACTATAAGAATGTCTCTTGTGGCCCACCTATATGGAAACTGAGCCCCAAGGATCTTTTCCATTAACGGTGATAGACTTGTCCTGATGGATGTACAGTCTTTCATTTATATCCATTTTGAAATTGCTGTCTGTGGTTTGGGTTGCAGTCCATAGCTTCAGAAGACAATGGACTAACTAAAGCGGGAATTAAATTCCAGCCTTGGTTTAGCATCATGTTCTAACCAGCAGGCAAAAAAATCATTAACTGGCATACCAATTATAGTGCTACATTATTCTCTTTGTTTTGTATTTTTCTCCCCAAAGCCCCAGTACATAGTTGCATATCCTAGTTGTAAGTCATTCTAGTTCTTCTATGTGGGATGCCACCATGGCATGGCTTGATGAGTGGTGTGTAGGTCCACACCCAGGATCCAAACTGGCAAACCCTGGGCTGCCGAAGTGGAGTGTGCAAACTTAACCACTCGGCCACGGGGCCGGCCCTTGTTTTCTTTGGAGATGAGAATCTGTATTGTCTGCATTGGCAAAATCTGCTAGTATTCTGAGAACATGTCTATTCCCATAAACTAAAAACGTGATGGGACACTGCAGAGGTCTTTGGAGGGGTTAAAGTGAAGGAAAGGAACTTTACCGTTTGTACCATTCTTCAGCCACACTGTTGTCTCCTAACGACCTGTAGAGCCTCCCCAGGTTCACCATGGCCACGTGATGACTTGGGCTAAGTTTGATGGCCTGTTGGTAATGGGCCACTGCCTTCTCTGGAGAGCCTGCAACCAGTAGTGGGTTGGTAATAGCAGAACATGCCTTAATCATAAAATACATGACCTCTTTAATTTCTCTTCTGATGTACATCATTCACCTTACAGCACCATACCATCAATTATTCAGTTTATAAATTAGCTTGCATTTTGGGTTCTTCTCCTTACCACTGCCTAACTTGGGACCATTCCACTATTCATTCCTACTTCCAAGGAAATTAATAATAAAAATGCAATAAAAACTAAAACCTATTTCTTTTATTATGTATATTCTTTTAGTCAAATGTTTTCTGGCCATTGCCCTAGCTAATGTGACATTTTGAGATTATCAGTGATTGTTATCTATACAAGATATTGTTGCTTCTCATTATAAAAAAAAATAGAATAGGCTGTTATAGAAAGGAAACTATCCTGAAGCAATTCTAAGGGTTTGTCTCCATTACTACCCTGCAACATAGTAACTGAGGCCTGCTTTAAATAAGCATGTATCAGCTATGCCTTGAAAAATCTCTTCTTAAATCATACATTTGTATTTAAATGGTATTTGTTTAACGAGACTTTAAAAAATAATAATAATGCCACCTGGCATTTGACCAATGCACTATGAGCTTTAAAACACTTTCATTAAACGACCTCACACGTTTTGATACCATTTAGCTGCTCTGTCTTACCACTTAGCTATCTGTTGGGATTTAAGAGATATTAAAAAATAAACAAAATTACCACTTTATGGATACAGAAACTAAAGTGTAACGACGTTAAGAAACTTGACAAAGATCACAGGGCAAGTGACGGTAAAGGGCAGAACTAGAATCAAGTCTCTAGTCTGATAAGGTTCCCCAAAGAAGTTTCCTAGTGAAATTCTATCTAAGAGACTGAACTGAAGAACGGTCCGAAGTTCTAAATGGAACGGAATGTTCATCACCTGCACAGACATCTTCTCAAGAAGCACACCTTCTCTGAATGCAAGTTTGACTAGGAGGTGCCAAAAGAGACTATGTATGTATAGGTCTAAGTATAGGACTCTGGGGATAGGGAGAATTTTCAAAGTATAAAAAGAAATACAGAGAGACTAGTAAGAAGATATATAGTGTGGTCAGTGAGATTTTGGGGTTGTAGGGGTTGGGGTAGGATTGTGTTGGAGTAGAGGAAAGAGGGTTAAACCAGGCCAACAGGAGGTTACTTCTGGTTTTTATATCTTATGATACCTAATTTATTATTATGTTGCTAATGAACCAGCAGGTGGCACTATAAAACAATTTTACATGCAAAAATAAGGTGTATCAGAATGTAAACTTACATTCTATAAAACAGAGGAGCTTCAACTATCATAGCAAATAAAACCCTTTCCAGCATTTGATATTGGCAAAATAATTAAAATTGAATTTTACTGCATGGCAGGTAGTCTAATAGTCAATGAGAACAAAGTGGTACTTTTGCATTAAATTCAAATTTCTTTCATTCTTTATAAGGATTCATAACATGCCAACAGTAAACGGGGCACAAATCACAAAAAGACAAACAGAATCCATGCCCAGTAAAGTTTTGCGTTAAATAAGGAGTAAGTGCATTTTATATAGCACCTGTCATCTAAGAGTACTCCATCAATGATAATAATACAGTTTCTGTAATGTATAGTAAGTAAGGGACCATGAAACAATCCTAGAGGCTTTTTCATCAGTTGAAGAAAATTATTTACCATCCGCCAGTAACTAGAATCAGAGGCAGGTTGTGCGCATCATTGCAGAGGGACATTTCATCATCACAGATTTACAAACTTGTGTAAGTGATACTCAAAGAAGACGACTACTCATTAAATCATTAAGACTACTTCCTGCCACCTGGGGAGTTTTCATTAGAGATATGATTATAAGCACTGGGCAGATTTTACTGAACAGAGCTTGAAGATTTAAAGAAATGACAACCCCAAGGTACAATGTGACTGTCAATGGTGTGAGCTTCTTGCCGAGACCAGTGAATTTTACTTCTGAGGCATCCTTCGGGTTGTTGCTAATTTTGCTGGAGAGACAGTATTATCTAATCTCAACAGAACAGCTTCTCTTTAATTTTGCTTACCAGTATCAACTAAGAAAACCCCATAGTTGTTGTGTAAATCTGAGCTGTCTGGACAGTTCTTTATTCCAGCCTGGTATATGTCCTCAGCTTCCTTAAATCTCTCCTTTAAAAAGAGAACAAAGAAAAATGAAGGAGAAAGTCAAACAAAAAATCAACAATACACTGAATAACAGAAGTGGGAAAAGCAGAACATAATTTCCTGAGCATCTACTATGCAACAGGTACTGAGATCCAACACTAGGTCCTCTGTCGGAAGCAAAGTCAGTGCTAACTGCACACAGACCTACGATTCATATCCGTGTTTAGTTCCTTTTGGGCAAACAAGCTGATGTTTACTAAGAAGGGACATTAAAACGATTTGCACTACCGTTGGAAAAAGCCTCAAAATGGTTGTTTGAATGGGATGGCCTCCACCCCAGTAACTCTCTGGATGAAAATGGGTGATACACTGATAGAAGAATATTTTCAGAGGTGGCCTCTGACTGGGAGGCAGGGATGCCCGGGGTGTCTGTCTTACAGGAGTATCTGCATAGCTAGCACTCTTCTGGCTACACTGTATGGTCTATTTGGGGAGGTTTTTACGGGAAGTTGGGGGGAGGCTGATGCATATAATGGGAGGGCTTTGCCTTATCCTTTCTTCACTGGAAATATTTCTACAACTCACCAAACTACTACTTCCCTTATCCAACCTATGTTTCCCATCTCTGAGCTGTTCCCCACAACAGGAATATATGTCTCCTCAAAGGCACACCTCCAACCCCTACCTTGTGGCAAAGCCCAGACCAACTGCCACATTGCCAACGGATCATTTTTCTAATTGCACTGAACATCTTCTACTCCAAAGATTCACTTTAACACACTTTCATAATTCTGAATTAGCTTTTAGGTACATTTTTCACAACCATCTGAGATTGCCATGTGACATTTTCTTCTACAAGATAGAAGGTAACATGTAATTCATGAATCAAAGCTACCTGGATTCTAACAATTGCTCCCAACTAAACGATGGCATAGTTTCCCGGTACGGCTGCGAAGATCAGGTCAAAGGAAATGATTTGGCATAAAGCACATAGCAATATCTCTTTTCATGCGCTCTAAACACAGACATTTTCCCTAATTTCATCGCAGGTTACTACCACTAAGCATTCAACCAGACGCATGAAGAGGGAAGTGCAACACCAGTTTTCTCAGACATGACACCTTAAGCTTGTGAATAAAAACGCACTGAGTGCTGAGGAACAAGTCAAGAAGCTGAAACCTGATTCAACTCAGAAAGTTAAAGACACTTTACCAATGCCAATGGTAAAGACACATTTACCCATGGTAGAATGACCAATGCCCCCTCTCTGAATGCACACACTTAAGTACCACTTAGGAACCAAAGTGTGGTTTGAATTTGGCAAATCTCTTTATTTGAACTACAAATTCACGGTCCAGCAAAAATGGAGATCCACGTTTCTAAAAAATCTGTTTTCTAATTGCCACACTCAACAAATTGTCAAATTCAGAAAAACTGAAGATGAATGAAAGTCACAAAATAATCTTTTCATCTATTGAAGAGAAGAATTTGATGAAGATATCATCCATTGAAGGACTGACAGATCTGTGTGTGTCTGTGTGTGTGTTAAATGGAGACAAGCAGAACACAAATTATATAAGATCAATCAAATTCAAAGCTATGGAGTACCATTGGATATTTACTCATTTATCCATTCATTCAGCACACATTTACTGCAATGGCTACGACAATATGGCACAGTGATCATGAATCAGGCTGTCAGTGGTTGACTACATGGATTGGAATCCCAGCTCCACCACTTACCCTCTGTGTGACCTTACTTCCTCTCTACGTGACCACTAGTAAAATAAGAATAACAATAGTACTTATGTCATAGGGCTATTGTGAGGATTAAAGGGATTAAGACGTGTGAAGCCCTTAAAACAATGTTTAGCACACAGCCCTTATCCTTATTTGCGTGACTAATACCACTGGGAGACAGAGGCCAGAGACACGGAGATGAATAAAACAAAATAGCTCTATTTAAGGAGCAGAGTATGAAAGAGGTCAGTAGAGCTGCTCTTGAGCTCAGGTGGCCTAGGGCTGTTACTAGGGCCACATCGGGCATCACGACCCTGTCCAGGTGGCATTTTAATCCACAGTTTCAAGTTCCTTTCCCAATGAACCTCTTTAACTGTATATGAGAAATAATTAACTAACTCTGGTGTTTTTCCTTTTAATTTGCCTTAACCATCTTCTGATACAGAGGTCAATAAATACTTAATACTTAGAGGCAACCAGAGAAGGAATACCTTGGCTAATCCCAAACTGGGTAGTCACTTCCTGAAAATCTTGAGTTTCTTGTGTTACTATTTGACCAGTGTTAGTGTTTGACTCCAATGCCATCTTTGTTTTAAAAGGATAAAATTTCCTATTATAAATGGCACTTTTACAACAAACTAACATAGTCATGGTAAAAATAAAAATCAAAAAACAATTATTAAAAACATGATGGGTGAGGGGCCAGCCTGGTGGCATAGTGGTTAAGTTTATGTGCTCTGCTTCAGTGGCCCAGGGTTTGTGGGTTCAGATCCTGGGTATGGACCTATGCACTGCTCATCAAGCCATGCTGTGGCGGTGTCCCACATACAAAATAGAGGAAGTCTGGCCCAGATGTTAGCTCAGGGCTAATCTTCCTCACTAAATAAATAAACACAATGGGTGAGATTTTCAGCAAAGGAAATAAAAGAATATCGGAGCTGGAAAGAACATTAATAGACATTAATTCACCACCATTTTTAACAAATGAAGAGACCTGGGGACAAAGCAGTTAAGAGACTTGCCCCAAGTCTCACAGCTACATGGGACAGACAGCAGTAGCTAAGTTTTCAGTGGACATACAGGGAATTGGCAAGCTCTGAAAAAAAACAGTATTTCTGGAAATAAACAAGGGTGTCTCTGGCATCAAAAGAAACAATTACACTTTCAGGTGTCCATTCATCCATCCATCCATCCGTCCAACCCCTTAAATATTTCGTGAGCAGCAGCCACACACCAAGTATATGGGGGAGACAGAAGAGTGAACAAAAAACACACAATCCTGCCATCGCAATACTGTGGGATTCAGACAGGAAGGAGACATCGCAAGGTACCCCAACAGAGTCATGGGAAGAGAAGCATGAGGTGCTTGGGAGGCAACCAGAAGTGACACCAGACTTGGGGTTAGATAGATTCTCTACAGCTGTCATGACCCAAATCCTCGAGAATGCCGCTTACCATTAACTCCAACAGCTGGATAACAGAAAGATGTGCTTGGGAAAAACCTGTGGCTACTTAAGGATTTTTTTTTTGAGGAAGATTAGCCCTGAGCTAACATCTGCTGCCAATCCTCCTCTTTTTCCTGAGGAAAACTGGCCCTGAGCTCACATCTGTGCCCATCTTCCTCTACTTTTCATGTGGGACGCCTACCACGCACGGCTTTTTTGCCAAGTGGTGCCATGTCCACACCCGGGATCTAAACTGGCGAATCCCACACCGCCGAAGTGGAACGTGCGCAATTAAATGCTGCGCCACTGGGCCGGCCCCTTGAGGATCTTCAAAAGTATCATTATAACTAAACTGTGGGAGAGTTGAAAGGTGTTTTTTCCGAATGTCCTCACACTCTAACTTTCTGAAGTCCAATACAACAGTTAACAACAGATTTCAAGTGCAATTACTGTTTATCTGATTTAATTTTACTTTGCCCCCCACTTTCTTGCTGCTTCAAAATAGGCAAAGAGATCACCTTTTTCGTCTAACATTTCTCTTATTTGGGGGTTTATGAGCTGGGTTTCCACTAGAAATGCAATTTTCAAAGTCCAAAGCAGTAATGGGATTTAAAAGACCATGCGTGTCGAGAGCAGGCAACCACATCCTGGTACCCTTGCTAACCCCGAGGGGAGTCTCGAGACTCAGGCTCTGTGAAAAACGTCTCCAATATCTGTACTTCTTTTCCTTTCACTTGACTGTAAATTTCAAGGAATGATTAACTCCACTTATTAAAAGAAAGGGAACCACCGCCTCAGGAGAAAAATACCTTCTAGGTGTTTGTTTAAAACAAATTCCACTTTCCCTGGAAAGGCGATGCATTTATCTTAAAAAGCATTTGTTCATCTCTGAAGCTCTGTTTTAAGCACTCGCTTCCATTCACCTCACCTGGCTAGATGTCCTGACCTGAGCTTGATCATTCCTCGTCTCTACTGACTTGTGAAATCCAGAGGAAATGAAGATAAGCTATTTATAGGACCATTTTAATTAAAAAAGCTTGTGACCCAGAGAATGGGTCTGACAGATAATACCATTGGCTGTACAGTGGAGTCCACAGCCAACTGCCGCCTCATCACGAAATCGGCCTTTGAGGGCAGGAATTAAAAATGGGCAGCACTGGGGCCGGCCCCGTGGCCGAGTGGTTAAGTTCGTGCACTCTGCTGCGACAGCCCAGGGTTTCGCCGGTTCGGATCCTGGGTGCCGATTGAGCATCACTCATCTAAGCCACGCTGTGGTGGTGCCCCACATAGCACAGCTGGAAGGACCTGCAACTAGAATATACAACTATGTACTGGGGGGTTTTGGGGAGAAGAAGAAAAAGAAAAAGAGATTGACGACAGATGTTAGCTCAGGTGCCAATCTTTGAAAAAACAAAAGAGGGCAGCATGCAGCTTGGGCGCTTCTCCAAGGCTCAAAAGCCTTTTCAGTGGAGTGGAAAGAAAATGGGCCTTGGGGAAGTGAGAAAACAGCATCAGCATGTCCACTTTTTACATGCTGTAATTACCCAACATGGTTTGACCTCAAGGAAGGGAAAGTGAAAAGTAGATGTGAAAAAGGAACCCCTGACTGTAACTGACTGTCTTGGGCCAACTGATAGGCCTGGAAAACATTTCTTATAGTTCAAGTTGCAGGAACTGGGAGGGCAAATGGACATGGGCTTCACACAGCAATCCTCAAACTTCTTGGTTTTAGGAATGCTTTGCAGTCTAAAACTTACTGAGGATCCCAAAGAGCTTCGTTGATGTGGCTTACATCTCTCTCAATATTTACTGCAATAGAAATGAAGCTGAGAAATTTTA